TGTAGAGAATTCTCAGTTTGAATGGCAATTTCTACACTAAAAGCAATGCTGTTTAATGAGGTAAAAGGGTCTGGAAGTAATTCTCAGCAATACAAAAGCTAATGTGCCATAGATTTGCTCTTGCTGAGGGTTTTTCTTGTGAGTGCTGACCTAGGACAAGACAAACACTCTCAGTGCCCGTGATAACAGAGCCAGTCAGACTGCGGGCCAGACTAGCTTTGGTCACTCGCCACTGTGATATATTCTGTTTTTTTGGTGAAATACAAATATTTTAATGATTACCAGAAATTTATTTTGTTTATTAAATACTGTAATATATTAAAAATTAGTCTAGTTACTGTTCAGGAAACAACTGTCAAGCAACATTCACCCTCCCAAAAAGGAGAATTACATATAATACATATGTGGATTGCAAAGCAACCTTCTATGAATCATAAAGACATACAACATATTTGGCTGTGACCTTGGAGGAATTTTACCTTGGAGAAATTTTCTTTATTTTTTCTCTAGTTCCCCCTTTGACTTTCAGACTGATTTTACAAAAACTCCAATTTCCTAACCATTTTTTTCAATGCCTCTCAGCACTTTGGACACTGCTTTTACTTATATAAAGTTCTACATCTAAATAAGGGCACATTATCACAGACAGCTGAGGGTGATTGCATAAACAAATTACCACATTTTTAACATTGATACAAGCTTACGATCAGAATAGTCAGAAGCATGCTTTGCATGTGCAGTTCAGCATTTTCATACTTCCATGATTTTATTTCCAAGCCAAATTGCCTTCAAAAAGCAAAGCACATATTCATCGCCGAGAATTAACTACATACCGAGGTTGCAGATTCAACACAACGCTGCTTTTGAGTTGCCACAGCATTAAAAATAGCATCTGAAAAATTACTTATGGAAAACGATTTTCCATACATGAATAATTTAAATAGACAAATGTCATTTTATTAAACTCTGTTTTCTTACCACCTCAAGTTGTATTTTGAGAAGACACATGAAATTTAAAGATTTTTGAGCATGTTAAAACAAGTGTAGAATAGCAGCAATAGCAATGATGATTTTAAGAACAGAGTGAATGCTACATATCAGAAATGCATGTGAAAACAAGCTACATTTTCTGTACGACAGCTGTATTTCAAATGCCATTTTCCTGGCCTTAAAAGAATTCCCCCTTACATTGATAAGTAATTGTATAGTCAGATTTAACTTATATTGAGTACTTATCTGAATACTTCCTCTCCGTTTTAAGAGACTGAGTTATTTCTTAGCATTGTACTTACTTATTTCTAGCCCTCCATAGGACTTAACATATTTTACAAATTTGAATAAATCTTGCCTAGAACGCCTCTGAAGCAGAGCAAGGCAAGTAATGCTCAGAGGTGGGGCGAGGGGAGGAAGAGGTAAGTGGAAAACAGCAGTACTTCGGCAGTACTTCGTGGTAGTCCTGTAAGGCCAACCACTTTAGCGGATGGATGGGAAGGGAAGACACTCGGTAGGGAAGGAGAACGTGCAGAAATGAAAAGCGGACACAGCGACAGAACCTGTTTGGGAATAACTAGCTAAACTGAGTGGGAAGTCTTGTAAAGCTTGCCTCAGAAGTTACTTTGCTGTGACCTGAAAATAGCTGTTCTGCCTTTAAATGGTGGGCAAAACCAGCGTTGTTTTATATAAATAACTACTCAGTTTGTTCAGTGATGACTTAAGTTCAGCTCATGTGGCGTCATGAATAAGTCAGACAAAAGTAAGATTAAACTTGTAGAATACCAATGTTATGATAACCATCAGTATTGGGAACATACCCGGCAGTTTAAGACCTGGTTTAGCGGTTTTTGTAGTTTAATGTTTCTAAAGTTTTCTTAGACACAGCTATCACACATGGATTGATATTCAAGAGAGACATTTACTTCATGTGATAGGAATTAATTCACCAGCTCTGCAAAGTAAGACATTGTGTTTTGTCGCATAATGGCTACCCATATAATGGCCTCACCCACTGATGTGAGGCAAGAAAAAGATTACCAGCAGCTTTAGAGTAGACGGGCATAATGATCCCATCACGCTTAAGCAGGACAAAATTGTCAAAGGAAATTATAGCTGCTACAGTGCGCAATGTAACTGTTAGAATTGAAGCATGGTTCTTTTCTGCATGACATAAACCAACTCAACATTATTATATGTATTCTTAAAATACACTATTGTATATTATATAATTCTGCATTGTTGTGTGTGTTTTTTCACAGAACTGACCACCAAGTTGCTTGCAGCGATGAAGGAACAGATGGTGGAGTCTGAGGCTCACCACTCTTCCCTAGTTAAGGGCCAGCTTAAAATGTGGTTTGAGGACTCCAAAAAAGCAATGCAATTCCTGGGTCCATGAAAGCGCAGTGCAGAGACAACAGCGTAGGTAGTATCCCACCTTTCAGTTTCATTTAGCTGTATCTGAGAACAGCTAAGTCCCAGGTTCTTGAAGATCTACTTGTAAAAGCATTTTAAAGACCATTATTTATTTTACTGCATTCATTATTTTAAATTCTCTTAAAGAATTATTAAGAATAATATAACGTGGAGCAATTAAGCACAATATAATGTGTAAGTATGAATTGAAACAGAAGTTCTCTTTTTAGTTGAAGAATATACTGTGTCTTCTCAAAAGTCACAGCTCTTACTAAACACAGATTTTTATTTTTAAATCTAAAAATAGATGCTAGTGTAATTCATCAATTAAGCAAGACCTATAAGGAATTTAGGAACTGTCCCTTGCCCAGAGATGTGAAATGCCTGCTTTATTTATTCCAAATGAAAGTTTAAACTCTACAAAGTCAAAAGTAAGCTTTTGGTGTGTGGCTTCTAAATGTGATTACAGGGGGGAAAAAAGTTGTTTCAAATTCTGCAAGCAGCCTTGAACAACTGGACCCATCAGTCTTTCTGGGGTGCGGTAAGGTTCATCTAATAAAGAATGAGTGGGAAGTATGAACTCCCATGACATGGATTTTTTACAAGTTTAGCCGAATACAACAATATTGCAGTTATACAAAGGCAATACATACATTTCTAATGTCATATACCTAATTTAAAAGAATAGTGTAATACAGTATCCATAAGGTACATGTTAGAGAAGTTGTGAATGACAAGTGATGAAAAGTAGCCATCATTAATAGAATGTTTTGGGGGTTTACTTTAGTAGGGTCCTAGAAGGATGGAGGAGCCAACGTATCCCTTGATGATACAGATATAGATGTAAAACAGCACTAATAAAAGGCTGCAGAGAAACAGACTAGTAATTAGCGAGGATAAGACACTCACACGGAGTGATCTGCATAAGCTGGAAAACTCAGCCCGTTCAAACAAAATATATTTTTTGTAGAGCTAAAAGTAGGCTGTCTCTTCCGAAGGGCAGACGCTATCCTGGAAAATACCAGTTCTGGAAAAACCCTAGGTGTCATGTCACAGTCAAGAAGCAATTGAAGGCAAGCTCCCCCTGTGATAATACGGCAAAAAGGGTGAATGCAGTCTTTGAGTACACATGTAGCAGAATAGTGAGCAGCAGCATGGAGGAGCATATTCCAGTGTCACATACGGTGATAAATTATGCCCAGTGCTTCATGGCCATGTTTTTTAAAAAAATCTGTTGACAAACTGATTGCCAGTTTTCCAGCCTGGAAAATACCCTTACAAGGGATGCTGTCTTCAGTACAGACAGAGGTGACTTGCTTGCAGCTGATGCATACCTAAAGATGGGAAAAAAAAAAAATCCAAACCCCAAAAAAACCCACACCACCAAAAACCCAAACCAAAATAAAGAATGCTAGGCTTTAATGACTAGTGGCAAAGATGAACATCGGAAGAATCAAATGTTAGAAAACAAGACCAAACAAGCTGAATTTAGAATTAAGGTACGATTTCTAAAAGAGCAAAGGCAATTTAACCATTTGAATAAATTGCAAAGTAAACCTATGGATTTTTCATTGTCCACCTTCACATTAAGACTTTTAAGTTTTTCTGGCAAAGGTTTTTATGGAAATCCAAGTTATTGGATTCAACACAAAGATTAGCAGATGAAGCCTACCATCTTGCAATATGTAGTCAGGCCAGATTATCTAGTAGTCGATTAAAGACTTGATTTTAATGGTTACTGGTGACACTTTCCTGCAATTATGTGCTTAATCAGTGATCATATGAATAGATGAAATGGGGAGAGGGAAGTCTGGAAAAGAAACTCAAAAAAGAGTGACTGGAAATTACTTCTGGAGATAATACAGGGAAAATTTGTTTAAGGAGTAAACCAATGGGCAAAACCCTGATGAGTTCCTCAATGTACGTATAGGTCCCACCTAGTGAAGCTACACGTAGCAGCACCTATACATGTAATTGGGTTTTTTTTGTGTCTTACTAGCTAATGGCCAAGTTCCTTATTCAACCTTAGACCTAACTTTCTTAGGAAGATCAACAAGCGATCTTCAAGCTGAGGGAACCACGTAAACCTAAATGCCTGCTACAGTCCACAGAGTTGGAACGTGACGTGACTTTTCCTTCACAGGGAACTTGCCACCTCCAGTTTAGTACGTTACTTGGCTCCGGCTGTTACTGCACTTAGAAGTTCTATGCCGGATTCCAGAATTAATCCAAGAGGGCTGCTGCTCTTTTGGATCAGTTCAGATGCTGGCCAAAGCAGAGATATCCTGGAACTCACTTGCAGCAACAGACAGGGTAAACGTCCTCCCCGGCAGTGTAATTCACTTAGATGTTATTGGCATGAATGTTGGTCATTTTCCTTATCTATCAGGAACGGGTCAGTGCCCAACTAAAAGAAGTTACATGCCGTTTTGGGTTTGGCTTTCTCTACTGGTCGCTATTAACGACATGATTGCTAGCACAGTACCTTCTGTGCATTCTCTATAGCTTATTTTCCAGAATCAGATGCTTATTCAGAGTACAAGAAGTAACTGTATTTTCCATACTCTTCCTTGAAATTCTAATGATGGAGCAATTTCTTTCTGCCTTAGTCTCTCTTCCAGTACATTATCTGAAATGCTACTGTTTCAATTTTATATTCACTTACTCCCAACCCAATAAACTTACCTGTTTCCCTGACTCTGCACATGCATCCTTCACTGCCTGTTTGTTCTGTATAGGTCACTTTTGTTGTTGCTTTTCTCCACATCTGCCTTCACTCCTAGCTGTCCTATTTAGAGTACCTTGACTCCTTACATTTCCACAGTTCATGGAAATAAGGAAGTGGGCAGGGATAAAATTTTGTTAACTCTACCTGAGAAATTATTTATTAACTTCCCTTTCTGTAGCAGCTAAGGCAACTCCTACTCACACTTCTGTTCTTTGAATATGATCTCAGATTAAACAACGGAAGATGTTCTTAGAACATATTTCCAAGGTAAAATAAACATCAATATTTCAGGACTTTTCTTGTTCTGCATTTTAATAGCACCTACCTATCTGTTCCATTACCAAGACTCTAAATGCTAGGACAATATGTAATACATCTTTTATTTCATCACTGCTCAAGGCAAAGCCCTGCAGTCCCCTGTTCTTTATGTCTTAAATGACAAAAGCTTTATTACCAGTCAATAAAATGCACTGTGCTAAAACCCACATTATTTAGCATATCAAATATGACTTTGAGACTATAGTGAATAAAAGCGAGGTTTTCAAAAACTTCTTCACTGGTCACAGACAGAGAATTTAAAATTAGTCCCCAAGCCCTTATGCTGCAATGCCATCACACTTATTTCAGAAGATCCAACCAACATGTAAAATGGTCTGCAATGGATTTGGATGCTCTTCAGCTCTCCTGCAGGTTAAGCTTCAATAAAGGGAGTAATTAGATGCATTTAACATCTGCTACAAAGCCACCAACATGATTTTTTGAAGCTTTGTACCAAGGCTCATAATTGTATTCCCGATCTGTTTCCAAGTTAATTAAAGTGGGAGGAAAAACAAAAATGCCTTTTCCAAGTGAAAGGTGTTTTCTAACTGCTTGCAGTGAAAATACTTCTCCTTTCACACCTCTTTCAAATCAGTGTAACATTGCCCCTGCTGAAAGGCTCTATTATTGGTGCTAGTATGATGGATCAGTTTTCTAGATGTGAATACATGTAAGTGCAAGTAGCCACAACTATCAATGTACTTCTAGATACCTGAATGATGATACTCATAGTTTTTGCTTAAAGCAGTAAAAATACTGACTATGCTATATGGCAGAAAGGCGTATATGTTCCTTATACACCCAGCCTCCTTATTTTCAGCATCAAACCACCATAAAATCAGGACCAAGGCCATTGGCTTGCCTTTGACTGATTACTGAACGTACATTTAATGACCAGTCACAAATCTGCCCTCTTCCACAGCAAAATGAATATACTATTTCAAATTCTTCAGTATGAAGCAACACAGACCAACAAGACACTCAACTGCAGATTCAGTTAAGAGCTTTAATCAAAGCAGACAGTAGAGAATACAGTATTCTGAGTTTCCCCCCAAAAGATAAAAAAATACTTTGTCAGTATTTTAAAAATTTACAAATTGTAAATTTTCCTTTTACAAATAATATACAATTTTTTTTGCCGCAAAACATACAATACATTTATATGTTATAACTGTTGCCTTCTTTTAGAATTATATATTCCCTGAACTGTTCTCCTTAGAAAACAGGAGAGTATAATAAATCCAAAAGTATAATAAATATATTGCTACCTAGGGTGGTAAATGCTGAAGAAAATTAGTCAAAACATACACTTCTTTCACCCATAAGATGGCTAAACTAAGTGGATTACTGACATGAATGATATTAACATGAATACATGTTTGAAGTGTCAGGCCTCAAAGCAAGATTGAACAATACAGTCGCTCAAATCTCCATGATCTGAAAAAGATGGTACTGTCATGCTTTGCTACCAACCTAGAAAGCAAATAAGCCACTTCGAAGCTTGGCATTTTGGGTTGATTAACCCTCATCTGCACAACTAATGGTAAGAGAGAAAACAATCCTTATAGACAAAAATAAAAGGTGAAGGTATTAGTTATTGAGATTTATCCAGAAAAGGACAGTGCTCAGTTTGTATTTTACACCGGACAGGTAATATATAGCAGTCTTTATCTGATACCCTAGTACTGGTTTTTGGTTGTCACCGTCATTCTCTCTACTTGCCACATTCCACCTCTTGCTGAAGTAGATTTGTCTCAGCCATTTAATAAATGATTCTTCTCCAGAAGACCTGCTAAAAAAAACGCCACAATGCACTCTAGTAACTTGGAGTTGAGAAATCTGGGGAACATCTGAGGAGCACTTTGACTTGTGGACAGTTGGAATTACTACTAAAAAACCGAGAAACTTTGAATGAGGAATAGAGGGTGGTACAACAGAAAAAACTACCAATAAAGCTTTAGTGAAAAAACCAATACTTGCTGAATGTTTTGCAGTCTCACTGCACTATGCTGTTGCTCAGCTGGGTCAACCTGCTTGATAGTCTGAAGTCCTGCAAGGAAGGAGATACCCAGAATGCACAGGAGAAAGCAAGACCCACATCTTACAGCCACACGCACAATAATAACTGACCCGGTGCATTTTGTGGCACTGACTTAAACAGGAACTCTGTTCTCCTTGGCCCACTTTTTCATGACGCGGACAATGTACTCTACTTGAGAATTACCAGTGCTCTTCAGAAGATGCAGTACTTCCCGTAGAGTCTCTCTAAAAAGGTGAAAAGCAAAGATTTAAATGAGGGTGAGACCCAACTGATACAATAAACAACTACCCACATCCAAACTATTTTGCAAAACATGGTTCCTAGACAGAGAGGTCCATTCATCTGCAGAGCAGGAATAGGTAAAAAAGCACAGTAGATTAGATCCCAGGGGGCCAAAAAAGTCTTGTAAAAAAAAAAAAAAAAAAAAAAAAAAAAAAAAAAAGGAGAAAGAAGCTGAAGGCAAGTTGTAGATGGGAAAACTTTTTTTTTTTTTTTTTAAGATAGAGGGCTGGAAACATGGTTCCTAGACAGAGAGGTCCATTCATCTGCAGAGCAGGAATAGGTAAAAAAGCACAGTAGATTAGATCCCAGGGGGCCAAAAAAGTCTTGTACAGTTTCAACAAGGAGAGAAATCAAAAGTAAAAAAAAAAAAAATTAGCAAAATGTAATTAGTTTGGAGCTTAGTGCATGTGTGTGTGTGTATTTATATATAAATCTTCACTCTTGCAAAATAGTTCCCCAGAACAAAACAAACTTTTTTTCTTTAATGCTACTTGCTTGTCTTCAATATGACAACATCTAGCTTAATGCTGCCAAAGCGCCTTACACATTAATACAAATAACATGGAAATGAACATTACCAATAGGATAAACCAGGATGAAGCTGCAGTTTGCCAGCTACTTTACAGCATCAACGTGTATGCATATTGAAAAACAGGCAACCTACGTGTATTTTACTGCATCTACTGCAGTAATTGCTAAAAGGACACTTGAAGGGTGCAGTAGTTAATGAGATTATTCCAGCAGAGAAGGGAATATTACAAAGGTGTAGAAGCCAAGATACACACCTACCAGTCATGTACAAAACAGCAACTTTGGCCAGGGGAGAATGGCCATCTGGCGTCACAGCAGAATATTCACAAGGGAACAGTTCTTCAATACAGCCTCACTACTCTCTTTCATTCTCCCATCCAGTGAAATGGGCAGAAAGCAAAATTATCAGTAATACAGATAATTTTCTTTAAGCTTTCATCAAGTAAGTATATTTGTCCGACATGGACAGTGTCTTCAGAAAGCAAATTTTAGTGAAAACACAGTCTCATCTACTCGTTGTTTAGAGAAATCGTGTCCTTCCTACAGCGCTGAGTAAATGTTTCCTTAGTTCTCTTCTATGAACCTTAAAATGTCATGGGACAGTTTTCCATTCTTAGGCCATCAACGTGAAATGAGGTTCTTTTCCCTTGGTTCATGAACATACTACGTTTATAACTTATCTCCTCCTAGCATAATAACTAATGATGTATTTTGGTTTCCTGCAGTTCATAGCATTTGCTGATAAGTTATTCTCTACAATATATTCTATAACTGTTGGTGTGGAAGATACACTTCAAATTGAACACTGGAACCACTGGCCAGAGTGTCTGTTCTCTGAAAGGTCAATAAAGAATTGGAAGAGGATATATAGTCCTAAAGCTAAGATTATGATTCTGGCTAACAGCTAACTGGAAATAGGAAAAGAGCAAAATACATTCAGATACAACGCAGAATACTCACTTTGCTTCTCGGCCAGCTAAGATCATTTGAAAGATACCCACACAAGCACCTCTCTTGCCTTCCCAGTGTTCGGGATTACTGTCCAGTCTCTCCAGAACATCAAACGCTTTGGCTGAATAGTAAAACTGATGCATCTGCACAGAAAGTGAAACATTATTCCTGACTATATGACCATCTTTCAGAAGGGGATTAAAAATTTTGAGCTCAGTTTTCTGAAATCAGCAGTAAGTCACAGAAGCAATCTGCATTTTCCTGTTTTTCTGCAGGCAGCAAGTGACACAGAACAGGCACATTTCAGTTCTACGTAGGGAAACAGGTGGTATTATCACATTACTGGTCTGTCTTTGAACATATTATAGACAAACTGCACTGCGAACTTTATTAGTTGGCAACAATCAGCACTGTTGTTTTGATCATATACAGATAACACTAGCTTACAGAATTTTTTTTCATGAGGTGCCCTATCTAGTGTCATACCGACTATACCAAAGCCCTTGATAGAATATCAACTTCAAACTAGTCCAAACATTTGAAAATGGAACCACTTTTCCTCATCTAGAGATGGTCACAGAGACATATTTGGGTGTATTTTGGGTTTAACTTAGAGCCATTTTTTTTTCTTCACTGTTACAGTACAGTACAAAATAAGATTCAGTGACTCTATAATCCAAAGTTTTCCTATGCATAGCAAAATCTACTGTGTACTCTATCTTTTCTGCCTTAGGTTCTCTACTTGTAAATGGGAACAAGATGCAAGTTGGTTGGAAACAGTCAGTGCAAAAGGAGTGACCACAGTAACTGTGGCTTTTGAAGTCAGCATAGCTCATGTGGACCTCGTCTATGACTGTGAGCGTTCGTCACTTGGGCAAGCCTGAATAGCAATGTTGTTTGTGGCTAGCATCTTCCCATGAGAGCACAGAAGGCAGACTGAGCACAATCTCTCATCCTTTGGTGGCCAGAAGCCTGCATCTGCTGAGAAAAAAGGACAGGCTGTGGGAGTTACGTTTGAAAACTTTAGTCAGAGAAATACAGGTACTACAGAATGAGTAATAATTCCCTTTTCGTCACATAAAGGGTGATTTTAACCACAGGTGACTGGCAAGCACTGAGATGGATGGGAATAAAGACAGTGAGTTAAACAGTATCAGATGTGTCAGCTAAAAAGAAAAAAATGAATACTGATCTCTCCAAACTGGCATCTGATCTAGTTCCATTAGGCAGATACTGGTTTAATGTCCTCCTTCTATCTGACACGAAAGCAGGAAATGCTTTACCCCGAGTCATGTGCTGTTCCCTATATCGGTAAGATGGGTGATTGCATGAAAAGCAGCAAGAAATTAGCCAGAAGTCCTGCCTCCCAGCTTCCTCACTGAGCAACTTCTATCAGCATAGCAACGGGGCATCCAGCTACACCTAGTCTCAGGACACTGTTGACCTTGCTCCATCCATGTTCATTCAGCATTCTGTTGAGTGAAGCCCACTACGACTGCCGCCTTAAGTTACAGCTCTGGTGCTGTCTGTGGACCTCCAATATAATATAGTGTTTCAGAAACAACTGGAAAATGCTATATAAACTCAAACGACAGGGGCCTTGCCATTTAGTGGAAGAGGTACAAACAGCTGGTAGTATAGAAAGACAAGTTATAACACTATAGCAATCATTTTTGAAATTAAATTCCTTGGTCTTTGGAGTGGTCATTTATGGCCATATGTAGACACATAATTAGGCTGAAAAAATTAGTCCTGTAAGTGCCGTTTTTAAGAGGTCTAGATAAATCCAAAGTGTAGAGCTCCTTCTTCTCTAGAATACAATAACGTTTTTGAGAAGAATTTAGGCAAAGTAATCAACTGACTTAAGTGAGACTTAAAATGGTCTAGAGAGAGAGATTTTACATATGGTCTGATTGTCAACTTGCTTTCACAAACTGCAGCTACAGGAAACACCAGAGGCATAGCCACTTGCTTGAGCAACAACACTTTTAGGGTGAGATGGTGAATTGAATACTTGAAAGATGTACAAGAGATAATTCACTTAGTTTTAGAAGAATGCTTTTGAAATCATAAGGTAGATTTTCTGACTTTGTTATGTGTTTGTTAGGATTTTGAGAACATGTTACTTTGTCAGAAGAAGGAAAACAGAAAAAAAAAAAGTTACAGATAGTATGCAGATATTGCTGCTCTCTGGAGAGCTTGGCTGAACTGAGAATCATTTGGAGGTTTTCCAGTGGGACTCAGCTTACTATCTTTCCTCTATGATGGCAAGTTTGGTCACTGTATCTCTAATAAGCCAATGCTAATAGCTGCTAGTTCTTGTGTATTCACTTGCATTAGGCTCCACTGAACCAGCTCCATGAGCTTTACACCTATTATCTGTGTTTTGATCCTCTTCTCACATCTGCCTTCTTAAAACAGTGAACTATTATATTTTCACAGTCACAAAATTACAATCTGACTTTATATTCTACATTTAATTTAAATTAAATCTAAAATGGTTGCTCCCCAAACAACTTCAGTCCACCTTCTGGCTCTGGCCAATACATTCTGAAAAGTGGATGGCCTGTGTCTCACCATGCCACTTTTCCAAAGAACATCCTTTTCTCCTGTCACTGAGCTGCTACTCCTCTAAGTCCCAACACAGTGCAATCATCCTTGTAGGTGGCAGAGAGGATGCTGGATACGGCATTCTATTATTGTCTACTGAAATCTTGCACAGCAGTACTCTGCATAGGACAACCAATTTTTCTTTCTCCTATAGTGCCATTTACAATCCTCTCAAACAAGTTTGCTTTATATGCCTCTACATCCATCCTGCAGATGAAGCTCTCATGTTTTCTTTCATGCTTTGCAGAACAGCAAAAAAACTTGAATCAGAGCTAAGTCTCACTGTGTATAGACACCATCTGAAGAACTAGATGTTAGGAATTTACGCAGAATTGTAATCAGCTTCCCAAGATCTCTTCACTGTTAACATAGCTTTGTATAAACTAGAATTTGGAGGTGTGCCAGCAGTGTATTAGCACAGAGCATCAGAAATTTTAGTAAACACAATCTAGAAGCTTAGTACAAGTAAGGCAGCATATCTTTTAACTTGTTCTAAAATGCCCAGAGCATCCCTACTAAAGTGGACATTGTCTTGTCTGGCTTGACTTTTAAAAATGTTAGACAGCTTAGTCTAACCTCATCTCTTTAAAAGTCCCCTCTAGAAAAGATTCAAAAGAAGAACTACTATGTGTTAGCAGGGATCCCACTGTAGGCAGTTAAGCTCACCATTTTTTCCAAGTAGTTTTTTCCTAATGACTACACACACACACACAGTGTCTCTTTGCCCCACTTGGGCAGACAGAATAGTAGTTGTTGGAATTCTCTTTCCATTTCTTGTGATTAACAAAGGAGTATCTCCCATTGCCATTACAAGCTTTAAGGAAAAAATAACACTGTCCCAGAAAAAAATGCAGCATGAGGCTCCTTGCTGAATCTACGCTAGACTTTTTTTTCTTAAAAGTTTCTTGTAATTTCTAACAACAATGAATCCCTAGTAGGAGAAGAAACTGTTATCATTACTGATAGCCCAAGCATGCAGTCATTTACCAATGTTCTGATCAGTGGGTTGTCTACCAAGAAGACCTGTAGCTTAAAATACTGAGTAATCCTTGCCAACTCATTTACATTATTAGACATCCTACTGTTATAAAAGAAAGTTCATTAGTGATGACAATGATGGAAAGGATCAAAAAAATGGCTGTTGTTACAATCGCTGAATTAACATGCCATACACCAAATTCTAAAGAGAAGACTCACTTTGTAGCAATCATTTGCAATGAGCTGCAAAAGGTTAAAGGACTCCCCTGAGGTCTCCATCTTCAGATAGAGCTTCCAGGCCAACTGTGGTTTCTTATTCATGATATCTGCAATAACAACAAAAAGCTGGGATTGTGAAAAGAATACGCCATGCACAATACTAAAATACTAAATGGCAGGTGGAATAAATGTTCCTAAATTTCTTTGCTTAATGTAAATCCATGCCTCAGCCAGTGAGCATGAGGTTGGGAAGGGAAACTTATCCTTATCTTCTGCCTTACTAGCGATAACAGCAATTTATCAGAGAATACCAATGTCAAGAGGAATAATTATGGCGTTTACATCTCCATTTATATTTCACAGATACAACAATAAGCACAACTCTCATGATTTCAGATGTGATTAAGAAATAGAATGGAAAGCATTAGAGAAGTTATTTTATGCAGGACAATGAACTGTGGCAGTCCATTTAGATGGTGAGATTTAGGATTATGTGTTTCTACACACAGAAAAAATTTAATTGGCACTGAACTGAATATCAACATTAAATATGTAACACCAAATCACAGAATTTATAGACACTTCTCATTTAGGAGGCAGCAAGACATCGCACCAGATTTTTCTTTCATCAGCTCCAGATACCATACACAGTGACAAACAGCCAGGTCTTAATTTCCAAATACCAACCCATCTGTCTACAAAAATGGAGTACTGTGCTAATTCAATGTTTTTTTCCCTTCTCTTCAAGAAGAATTTGGTATAACTAGTACAATAATATTAAACAAAAAAATACTGTCTAGCATCCAAAAAGATGCATCTCTGGTACTTTTTGCCCTTTGGAAATATTTCAGCATTGAATTGTTTACAACTCAATACCTAATCATACTCTGACATGAATGTATTATAATGCTTTGTAATTTCTACAGCAGCTTTTATCCAGAAGGATCTAATAGTAATTTACATACTTGACACAAAAAGATAACTATACTCATCACTGAACAGTTGTTTCTGCAAAGAATTCTAGCAGATGTTTGGGAATGAAAAATCAAAATTTTAAGACAGACAGGAGAACACAGCAGCTCTACTGAAAATTCATTCAGAATGGCAAAAAGCACACTCAAGAATAAATAGCAACTCTTATGAAAGAGCTAGAAATTTTTTAATTGATAACATGGCGTTGATTCTACTTCTTGTATAATAAGTAGCACCTTCAAAGAGGTCTGCATCTCCAGACGTATGTCAGAGAACTACTATAGTACAGAATCAAAGGGATGAACACTGTCGACTGAACAACCGTGATTTCCCTTTGCAATGGGAGTTCTCCCATCAAAAAAATTCACATAAAACATTCACATATAAAACACTCAAACACAACCAGGTACTGCAGCTTAATGAAAAAGGAAATAAACTGTCATGTCCTAAAAGAGAGTCATAGATAGGCATCCATAGGTGTGATATGCCTGTCTGGAAAGATCACATTAGAGATGTTGACCACATCTGCTACATGGGATAACGTCCCAAAACAAATGTATTTACATTCCAAGTACAACTACTGAAAACTGTATGATAAGAGAACATTTTTGTATTGAGGCACTGTAAGGAAAACAAATTAGCCTAGGGAGTCTCAGACTTGAGTCATCAGAAAAGCAGTCCACCTCTGTACTCTTTTGTACGTGGTGCTGCAGCTGTATCTGTACTGAGGTGTACTCTGCAATGTTTTAAAAACTGACTCGGAAATACTAAATAAAATTTGCTATAGGATATTAAACATAGCAAAAATTTTCTGGTTTCAAGGGAAGAATGGAAAAGTTTATGAAAGAAAAAACACGATGGAGATTATAAAAGGACATCCCTCAGGCACAGGAATTTGGACAATACAAAGAGTAACGCGGTAGGAAGAAAAAATACACATGTTTGCCTGATTCTTCTCTTCCCTAGACATCTGACATTGGCTACTCTTGGAGCTAGACAGACCCTTGTGCCTGACCCAGTATGAATGCTTCTATTTTATGTTTTACTCTGAACATTTTAGAGTTGTAACGCAGTCTTTTAAGACAGAAAATCTTCACTCAAGCAATTGAGTAGACAATGGAGAAGAAAAAGATTCACTGCTTAGGACAAAGCTGCATTGACGGAACTATAACAGCGCTGCACTGAAGCAGTAATTGCTTACTAAAGCCAGATGTATGAAAGGTGCAATAACCACCCACGCTATAACTAGTGCAATCAGCTTTTCACTTTCACAGTCCTGAATCCACCTACAACATTAAATTCAATTAAGGAAGTGGATTGCCAAGACTGATGCAATAGAGGAGGATCTGCATTCTGCAACGTTGAAGGTAAAGTGACTCACAGCAGCGAGCTAGCCAGCTAAGGTAAACAAAATCATTCTTTATCTTCTCACTCTGGATCAAAAGGAACACCTGCAGGAAGAAGGAAAATAAAAGATTATACATGCATGTACTTTTAAACAAGCAGAAGGCAGACTTGCCGCGTTTCAACATGCGGCTAAGGCTTAAGCCACATGAGCAAGTGCTTCATGAGAAGAGTTAGGGTACGTAAGTGCAGCGCAGGGGCAGCTCTCTGTGTCGGGTAGGTGGGGGATTCAAACAGTGCCATGCTTATCAAGGGACTTCGACAGCTGCAAAACACCAAGCTGTGCAGAGGGTGCGGCCTGCTCTGAACAAGCGCCAGTGGGCGGCCACGCAACACAAACAGCACAAAGGAACACTGGGCCTGTGGGAAAAGCTATTTGGAATGTGTTTGTTTAGAAAGCAATGCAAGCAATTACATTAGCATCTTCTTGAAATACCAGAAGTTTCACATATATATGAACCTTTCCTCCCCATACATGTCGGAGATCATTCCAGGTCAGCAATAAGGCATTTCTAACCATTTTGGTTTCAGTAAGATTCCAAGGCAAAACATTTGTCTTTTGTAACTGACTGTACAAATACGGGTTTATTAAATTCTACATCTAAAGGGATGTGTGTGGGGAAGTTACACATTTTAAAATGTTCTCTGGCTTTACTCACACACACAAAAAAACCTATTTATGCCCCTCTGCAGGTATATTTGTAACTATACTAGGATGCTACTGGCAAAACTCAAAATACCTTTATAGGAGCAGATGTACGTACTGGAACAGTGAGTTCCACAAATTACTGACATTTTTATTGGTTAAACATTGCTGACGCCCTAATTTTGGTGGTGGGGAAGAAATTAAAAAAAAAAAAAAAGCAGCACTATCAGTGTAAGTAGCACTTTATCATAGGTTTTATTTCATTATGTCCAGGGAGGTAAGCTTTTTAATAAGTTAATAAGTGCTATATGTGGAGATATTTTACAAGTTTATGAGACACTGGGGAAGCGTGATCTGTATATGAAAGTGTCATCACAGGCAAAGATCAGACAATAGGACAGACTAATCAATTTAATTACATAATGCTGTTGTTTAAACACATCAGCTACATAACATAAGTTTATATAGAATCATTTGTAAGAACATAAGAGGAAAAATGTGGATTAACAGCAGTTTACACCTTTGTGTTTCTTTGTTGCCTGGCTGTAGCTAAAGCTTACTTATAGCATTATCATTTTTATCAGCATAGCCTGCTAGCACAGTTTTAAGATAGTCACCTGCATTTTCATTAAGCTAACTAAATTAAGGTAGGTGAATTGAAATATATATCCATTTTGCCTGACAGTCTTGGATATTTTTCTTAGAGAGAGATGCAATTTCAGGACACAGAAATTAAGGGGCTGGAGGGGGAAGAAAAAAAAAACAGGGGGGCTCTGTTGTCAAGAAGCCTGAAGAGTTAAAAAGTTAGAAAGACAGGAAAAACAAAACAAACAAACGAACCAAACCTATATGATTCATTTTAGACTACGTGGTTGGTTTTTTTTTCTGGCTTGTCTTCTTTCTGGTCTCGTGGAAAATGTTGCTTCCATCTTCATAATAGCTATTTGCTTTTGCATATTTTAGTTGTAATTAAGTTTCTACTGCACATAGACACAAAAAATGCTGTGTGTAGAAGTTAATCTCTTCCAGCTGCATCTGGATGCTGCTGAATAAGATAGTGAGCACTTCCTCTTTTCCTCCCACATCTCCCAGAGGAAGGATTTATTTATTTATTTATTTATTTTAAAACACAAATTTCTAGGGACATCTAGAAGCTCTTAACTATTCAATGGCTTTTACTCAGCATGTCCTAGTCAGTCTGAACAATAGGACTGCCTGGGATCCCAGTCAAAGCGTAGGAAATCTGATTAAGAGGGCATTCTTTGATCAATTAGAGATAGCTGCAAGCACTCTTGCGATGCACCACAAGCAGCATGACTCCCCATATACCTCACATTACAAGATTAGCAAGATAATCTTTTCTGAATAGTGTTCACTGAGAGTTTCAGTTCCTCTAAGAAGGGGAAGATGATGTTCCACAACCTGCTTATTTTCAACCAACATGAAGACCTGGAGGGAGAAAAGGAAGCAAAGAGGGGAGGATGTGGGAAATGTTTCCATTGTTGTTTTTTAAAGAAAGCAAATACATACCTCTTCAGCCTCACTAAAATTGCCCATGGCAGCTTTGGCTTGGGCATAGTTGAAGTTAAAAGTGTCATCGTTGTAGAAGTAACTCTGGAAAATAAGCCACACAGGCAAAACCCAAATAAATAAAACAAAAAATCCTTCCTCCCATGGTATAATAACATTAAAAATATCTCCCCCCCTAAATCCGAGTCAGACTATACCAAGACAACGGGAAGGAAAAAGAAAACCCCACATTACGAACATACAGCATTTATAAACAGAGGGTAGAAAATTATGGACTGGCTTTCCAGCCTACATTCGTGACTACAAACACAGCTGGAACATTCCACAGTATTAACTATGAGAGATCTGGAGAATGCTCCAAGCTCAAAATTGCAGTGGCAGCTTTTATGGGTGTAATTTTCACTTTGGGCATGTGAAGACATGCTGTGCTGCCGTGGTCTCTTTCGCCTCCCAAGCATTTATTTCACCACGAGGGTGGTAAATAGGCAGCTGACTCCCTAATGGCTTAAGGAGATGAACAGTTTGTTTTTCCAAGACTTCTCAAGGTTCAACAAGAGATCCTGTGGATCTGGTTATGTGACAGATGCTAGTCTGACACACTGGATCACATGACGGAGGTGGAGCTGCAGTACCAGGCTGTAACCAGGCAGACACCGCATAACAGGACTTCCTTAAGCTCAAGCCTTCCTTACAGGCACTCTTCTCTCTATCTGAAGTGCAACATTAGGTTTTTCTCTCCCATAATATTGTACTGGACAGACCTGGTTAATGACAGATCAGGTTGATCTAGCAGTGTCTTTCCTGAAAAGCTGCATGGGCCAAAGCAGGAAATACAACTCTAGGTACAGATTGGCCTGATGTTTGGGTTTGACCCAAACAGCTTGGTTAGAGTGAAGTATAACTCAGATGGCCAAAAGTCAGCGTGCAACATTAGGTTTTTCTCTCCCATAATATTGTACTGGACAGACCTGGTTAATGACAGATCAGGTTGATCTAGCAGTGTCTTTCCTGAAAAGCTGCATGGGCCAAAGCAGGAAATACAACTCTAGGTACTGGACGGCCTGGGTTAATGACAGATCAGGTTGATCTAGCAGTGTCTTTCCTGAAAAGCTGCATGGGCCAAAGCAGGAAATACAACTCTAGGTACAGATTGGCCTGATGTTTGGGTTTGACCCAAACAGCATGGTTAGAGTGAAGTATAACTCAGATGGCCAAAAGTCAGCCGAGTGTATTATACATTCAGCACTGTCCCACACTGCTGCACCGGCAGACCTGGTAGAGGTAAGGTGGAACACAATATCACAGCTACAAGCGTGAACGGGATTGAGGATCCTCGCTGAGCAGAGGTACAGTGCTTGTGAAAGAGCATGGGGGGGGAAAGCAGGGTGGTTTATCCACTACAGTTACTGCAAGAAAAGCTTTCCTGTGTGCACAACAGCAAGGCAGGCGGAAGAGAAATGTTTTTTCTTCTATAACGTCTATAAAAGAAACAGAACTTGTGTAGGAAGACCAAACTTTTGTTTTGTTCCCTGATTAAAAAGTGAGGATAAGGTAAAAAGCACAACTGTGACTGTACAAAAGATACGGGAAGCAAGGGACAAAACCTCTTCCCGGTGCTCTCTATCTTCTTTTTCATTATGTAGGGACACTTGAGGAACCTCTTCCCTTCCTTGTCACAGGTAGTCAACAAAGGGTACTGACCCAGTCCACTCACATACCTCAAGCCAGAGCCTGGAGAGGAGAGGTGGGGGACGGCCACCATTTGCCAGATGTCTAGATTTCACCCAAATAGTCTATGTTAGGGTCCAAAAGAGCTGGCAAATACAGCAAGCTATGTGAAAGCATGAGGATGAACCAATCAGATGAATCTCAAGCTCAGTTTGTGAAAACATTTCAGTACCCTTAGGGTGAAATAACTGGTTTCACCATATGAGAATTACAACACTTTACTGTATTCTTCCTCAATGATAGTTTTGTGTGAATCAGCACAAGTTCCAGGTTAAGCAAAGCTGGTGAGCAAGACGCTAGTTTTACTACATGAATAGTTCTTTCTGTTCAAATAGCCCCCATTGTATTTCTGAATTAAAATGGAAAAGAAACTCAGTCAGCAACCAATCTCAAAAACTGTGTCATTCTATCCTGGCTGTATCAGTGCTAGAGACCAGACCTGCTGTGAAAACAAAACCAGTAAAAATGAACTAGTGCTGCTGATAGTGCAATACATTCACAGCAGCTAGGTGTTTTCTTTTTTTTAAACCACATTATATGTACTGGACTTCACTCTTTTGTGGTCTTTTTAGTGGTCTTCAATCTTTTAATAAAACTAACTGCGCTCTGAGTGCTGTCCTTTTCAATGAGACGCTCAGATACCCAATTGAACAATGGCCACAATTTGTTGTAGCCAGAACTCAGCTGAGCCTGAATTAGCTTGTCTTCTCAGTTGATTCTCAGTGTTATAATGTCACCCTCAGGGCAGCTGGCAATACATTTATAATAAGGTGTCTTTTGAGACATTCTCATGCCTAAAGCAGTTTTAATCCATCATGGATGAAGGTGGTGTTTCCTGAGAGAACATCATGCAAACAATCGTCACAGAGTGCACAGCTCCACTTAAAGAGCTGCAGAGATTCTACTGAAGTTGGTTCCTGTGAATGAAACACAAAGGTGACTGTAAAGCCACCTAAACCTTGCCTGTAAAATGGCACAGGAAGAATTATTTGCATCCCTGTGACCCGAAGAGGAGGGGAATGACCTAAGTACGTCTGAGCAGTGGCTAGTCTCAGCTAGAAAATGATGAGTACCAACTACTTCAAAAAGACTATGCAAAGAACGTGGTGGTAGGCAGAAAACTTTGTCCCTTGCTATTTATCAACTGCATTATGTCTCAGAGTACCAGTATTTATGATTCCCTTCAAGAATTTAACAAATACATATTTTACTTAAGCTTGATCACTTTGCAACTTGCTAGATACAATCTATAAAACCTTCCAAACTTGCAGCCTCAGCCCTACCTTGAACTATGACAATGAGTTCCATAAACCAACTGTGTTTTGAGAAGGACAAAACGCATTTTCTTAGAAAAGACATGGTGAATTTGCTGCAATTCCAGCAAACCGTATCTTGTTTTCAGCCTCTCCTAATAGAAATAGAGGTTTCAAATCTACCTTGTTTATTCTAATCCTCATTTTGTATTATTTTATTTTCTTAACTTCCCTCTATAGCAAGTAATAACTATCTTCTGAATCTCTTAAGACAATACTTCAATTTCTAATTATTCTGTGAATCACCTTTCTTTCTGCAGTTGAGGGGGGAGTGCCCAGTATTTAAAATAAGAGTACACCACTGTGCAATGAAATGCATCAATCTTTTTTTATATTGAATTTTCTTTACTTAGCATAATATTTTGTTTCATCCTTATAAATGCAGTCACATTACAACTGTAAAAAATGAGGGAATATTTTTTTAAAAAATACTGTTATTTTTGCCTAAATATGGGTCAAATGAAAACAGATATATGGTTACTGATGCCAAAGGTATGTATATGTTGAGAAGTCCAGCTTGTAAGCTGAGATGCACATATGCATGTTATAATGTGCAACAGTAGTTCTACATACTTTCAGCAAAACAGCTAAGTTTTTAAAACAAAACATCCAAACAAGCAGGCAAATAACCTTTCCCCTCCCCTATGCACACATAATAAAATCTTTTCTCCCAAATCTGACAAGGTAAGAAGGCTCCTTCTTTTAGTTGATAAATATAGCAGGATTGAAGGCTTGCATACCCATACCTCTCATTATTTCTGCCTCCCTCCTGACAGTTTTTAAACATTAGATCTATTCCTCACCTATATTTCCCTCTGCATGGGCTCTTACATCTTATAAAGCAACACTGTATATTCTGTGCTCTTCCTTTTCCCTTCAGATTTTCTTTCCAAGCCTTCCTACAACATTTTCCTTTACACCCTCACAGATGCAGAATTGTCTCACTTAATCCCCTCCCTGTAGCACGTCTCTTGCCTCATGACTCCGACCTATCCTCTGATCATCCTATTGCCCACTTTCACCCTCTTAAATTCTGTTTAGTGTCTTGTTCACTTCTGGCTCTTTCCTTTACAAGGAGTAGCCATGCCTTACTTTCCAATATTAATGATGACTCCATTTGCCTCCCCAGATGCTCCCCTTCTCTCTCTCATTTCTAAGCTGTTGTGGTTTAACCCAGCAGGCAGCTAAACACCACACGGCCGTTTGCTCACTCCCCCTCAGCGGGACGGGGGAGAGAATTGGAAAAAAAAAAAAGGTAAACTCATGGGTTGAGATAAAGACAATTTAATAGCACAGAAAAGAAAGGGAAAATAATAATAATAATAAAATAATACACAAAACAAGTGATGCACAATGCAATTGCTCACCACCTGCTGACCGATGCCCAGCCAGTTCCCAAGCAATGGACCCCCGGCCAGCTTTTCCCCTACATTATATACTAAGCATGATGTCATATGGTATGGAACATCCCTTTGGCCAGTTTGTGTCACCTGTCCCAGCCGTGTCCCCTCCCAGCTTCTTGTGCACTCCCAGCCTACTCGCTGGTGGGGTGGGGTGAAAAGCAGAAAAAGCCTTGACTCTACGTAAGCACTGCTCAGCAGTAACTAAAAAAAAATCAGTGTGTTATCAACATTCTCATCCTAAATCTAAAACACAGCCCTATACCAGCTACTAGAAAGAAAATTAACTCTATCCCAGCTGAAACCAGGACATAAGCTTTCCCATATACCTTGCAGGTGGTACGTAATCGCATTTAACTTTAACCTTTTCAGGTTAGAACTAGTTGTTTAGAACTTTCTTAAGTAAATGGAAAGAGATGGGTATTTCTATGGGGTGACTCATTCCATTCTAAGTGTAAGAAATAGACAGGATGAATTCTCCTCCAGAAATTACCATCTGGCCCTATTGCCTATAGACTGAGACCAGAAGATCAGTTATAACTAGAAGTCTGACTTTTAGATGGCTCAAGTTAGGCAAAACAAATCTCACTGTTAGTTTCCAGCCCTTGTTTTTTCCAGTTGCACACATACTCCAATTTGGGGTGGTGGTGGTGAGTTGTCTCTTCGTTCCACTACAGTGGAGCCATTCCAGTGGCTACAACCACTTTAGATTTCTTCAATGACCTCTTTCCAGACAAAGGTTAAAAACACTACACCTTCATCATTCTTCACCTATCAGCTGCTTTTGGCACCATTACAGCCATGTATTTTTCTTTAGGTCTCACCCTCCTTAGAACCTTGTCATTGTCCTCATCTCATGCATCTCCCTAACCATATCTTTTTAGAGTCTCATTCCTCTTCCTACCAAATATAGAGTTCTTACAACTCTAGTTTCAAATCAGTAAAACAAGCCTGCAGTCACTTAACCCTATAATCACACTCCAGCCTCTCTCTTTTTCCTCACATCTGATTTATAACTGAATCTCTGTACGTTATATCGATTTTATCCATTGAATACTGGTGATCTGATAATGTTGCATTATGATAACTGCAATCTCCTCTTACTTTGAAAAATGCAACATTGTCTTCAGGGTAACACTCAGATTACTTCTGCAAAAGTAATATTCTTAGCTTACTGCTTTGGTAAGACTGCCCTATCTTAGCCCTTCAGTAACTGCTTTCCCTATAAAATATAAGCTTTATTACTTTCAGGGTCCTTCATGTCCTATCTTTCTTACACACTCTTGTTCATTAAAATGTTGTCCCCAATTATTAAGCAGTGATGATAACCTCCATCACTCATTTGATAAGTCTTAAAAAAAAAAAAGTTTTTTTTCCCTCCATGCTGGCACCCCATAAATATCCACAAATTTTTTCCTTATCTTCCTTTAATTATCTTCCTTGTCTTCTGTGATGCCACCAGGAAGCCTGGTAATGGTTAAATTGCAAGTGCGATAAGAGCACCATGCTGCACAATGCTATCTAAACTGCTTCCTTACATTTTGATCCATTTGCTGTATTGGCCTCTTATGTCTCACTGCTGTTCCTGTGTTTTGTTGTTACTATGGTGTTTCTGTATCTTTTTATGTTTACATAGTGTCTCACACAGTACAGTCCAATTCCATAAGTAGTGATGCCGTGCATTAGAGTACTACCAATACTAAATAATAATACTCACCTTGACTGAGTTGAGGTAAATCAGGACATTACCAAACTGCCTAAGAAGAAAGAAGCAGGAGGACATGCATTGTCTCCCTGGAATGGTATCTAAAATTCAAAAGAGAAATGTAGATTTGCAGAATTTAAAAATCACATGGTAATGGAAATCACTGTCAAGACTGCTGGCAATGATGAAAGCAGCTAACTTCTAAAAATAGTGTAACTTGCCTTTTCAAGGCAAAGGACCATATAGAGGTTAGAAAAAATATTAGACCATCTTGTCAACTTTCTTTACAGCATACAATAACTATTGCAAGATTGTATTCAACAGCAAATTCTACAGAGACAAATTGTTTAAGTAACAGGCCTTTTCCATGACACAATTTATGTAGCATAATTTTACCGTGAATTATTCTTACTCTTAGGAAACGACACTTGATACAAAGCCTGAGTTTGTTATTCTAACCTCATTGGCCTTTTTTCTTTAAAATTATGCTTTTCAGTTATCCTGGACAAAGAAGCTCTGCATATTTTAATTTTAGTTCCAGTAGAAGAACAAACTTGAGACACTGAAAATATTGTTATATATAAAAAAAATAATACATGCACAGGAAAATGTGTTGAAATACAATATGAAAAGTAATTTTCATGCACTTGGGATTACCACATTGCTCAGAAGTGGTAAAGCCATAAATAAATTAGGCATATCAGTTCAAATGAGTGTCAGTAAACTTTGCTGCCATCATACTATGCTGTTATCTACTCTGAAATTGCTAGCTGTGTTACTGAAAAACTACTTCACAGCTTTTTTAGAAATGCTGAAGTAAGCTTACTAGGACTTAATTTTTGTTAGACCCAACCAGCAGAAATTGGTCAGACATGGATGAACCCAAGTAGCAGCTGGGAAGGCTTAAACCCAAGTGATGTCAAATCACTACTATTTCACTATGTCAAATGATCATTAGAGAGCATGTTGCTCTGTGCAGTTTGGTGAGGTGACAGGAGATAAGAGCCTGAGGCTACCAACAGCCCTGAAGTAATCTGCTCCTGTAGGTCAGTTACCATCAATCCATCCACACTAGAAAATCAAAATATCTTTTCTGTATATAGAAATTCCATCAATCTGAAGACCAATGTTTTGACTCCATACCACAGCACAGAATATAGCATTCCACTGGAAAATTGTACATTTTCCTTTAAATATGGTAGGGTAGTAATTATTCCTGGAAAACACTATACAAGATCTCAAAATATATTTCAAGGGAAAGCAGAATATTCTCATTTTTTATCTTTTAGCACTAGGAGATACTGAGCTTGGATGTCCTGTTATTTCCATATAGACACAATCCATCCTTATCTATGCCTGAACCACATCACTCAGTTCTCCGACTTAAGAAAATTATTTGGTTATTTATGAAGTGTTCACTTGGGAGCAGAAGCTGGCCAGTATATTTATCTATTTTTTTTTAAAGGCAGGCATAATTATCATGACACGTATATGCCTCGACAGAAAAATAACAGAAACAATCTTCCTCAGTGTTGAGAATGCAGGTATCTCAAAAGTGCTCCTTTTCTCTCACATTCCATTTTTGAAGTTCATAAACTCACAGCAATTTATTTTAAACAAAATTTCAAAAATGCAAATAAACATGCAAAGAAGAGTTAAAAATGAGAATACGTTTTCAGTAAAAATTCATCACAGTAAGAAAATATTAGAACCACACTTTTCTTTTCCCATATATGATTGAAGAGTTTCTAAGTTTCACTATTTTTTTATTATTATGTCCACATTTTGGCAGAAAATTTTGTCATCCCAGCATACCACCCTCCATATACTTTTAGTGAAAGATTTCATTAAAAAAACCAAACAAGTAAAACATCTGTAAATCTCATACAACTCAGCAATGAGCACTACTAGTGACAGGAGAACTAGAGTTTTACAGTTGTAATTCATCCCATGTGACTCATGCAGGGAGACGAAAAAGTTCTCATTTGAAAAATCACTTAGGGTGACCTAAGAATACCTCAAAGAAAAGACTGCACAAAGCCAAGAAGAAATGTTTCATTCCTCCCACCCAACACTATATATACCTGACTTGGTCCTAAAAGAGGACCGCTGAAAATGAAAGGGGTGCTTTTCTCCATTCTGCTTGCAGTGTTCTTAGGGTAGTTTGCAAGACTTATGTTAAGCACCAGAAACGCTGCATTTAATGGAAATGTTAATGTTCATTTACTTTCACTAATGTTCCTCTTGCCCCATTTCCTCCTTAACTTATGTCAGAAATCTGATCCGTTTAATTTTCCACCCAGTTGAGACCATGGGAGAAGAGCATGAGAATTAACTAACCATCAAAATCTAGTTCTGTCCTCCTTTGTAATGCCAGTTCCATTTCATGTCATTGGGATTAAGAATTTTTATTAAGCTTAAAAAACCCCAGTAAACCAAGCTGCCATTCTAGGTGTTATTTATTGCTGCTAGAGGGTGAATATTGACTCCTACACTGTAAGTGCTTCCTGTTTTGTTTTGGTTGTTTTTGTTTTGTTTTGGGTGTCTCTACTCCTCTTAAAGTACATAACTTCCAACACGAGATGAAATGCGTACATCTATTGGAAAGGACTTTCAGATTAACTCTGTTTGGTCTGTGTTCCTTGAATCTCAAGTAAGAGATCTAATTAAAAATAGCAAAGGGCTTAATTGATGACTCCAAATGACTTTACAAATACATAACACTGTATTTGTCGTGAACTGTCTGTTGCTGCTTTTTTCTTAATGCAGTCATGGGATTTCTACAGTTAACAAGAGCAAATCAGAAAGATAGGACCTTGTTTTGAAAAAAATATTCCACATCTTTATTTTAGTCCATTGATTTTTGATAATCCACATTAAAATCAGGAGCCTTGTAGGCCCGGTTGTAAGCAAAGACACAGCATAGGATTTCCTCACTCTAGCAAGCACAACCTACTTTTGTATTATAAATCTGCAAAGCAGCCAAGTAACCTGATAAAGATCTTAAACAGACAGTCTAGGGGTACTAGCTCTTTGCAAGGATTGGCACAGTGGGAAGTGCTGAAGCATGACTTACATGCTTGAATAGCGCAGCTGGCTACTTAGCAAAAGCCCAAGTATGCAAACAGCAAGAATTGTGTTCTCCATTCTAAATCCAGCAAAACAAAGGCAGCAGATCAAAAATGACCACAAATACACAACATAGTGGCTGATACACTAAGTTACATAAGAACATAAAAATTATCATATTGGATCCAAAGTCTGTCTGGTTCAGAAGCTTGCTGAGTAAGAATATACAGCTATAGAAAGAATATATTCTGATTTCACGTATAATACATGCTGTGGTATGTAATGCTACTTCCTTTGAAGTTTATCCCAGATTCCAACGATCCGCACTGAGGACTTCCTAGTCATCAGTGAAAAATTTGTGTTAAACAGCCAATGGACTTTTCTTCTACAAATTTCTTTATATCTTCTGGTTTTTGCAAGATTCTATATCAAATAAGTTGTGTTATGGTAAAAAGTAATTCGCGATGTTTGTTTCAATTGTCTTGTGTGATGATTTATGTCAATGCTCCTTGTTTTTTGTACGGTACAGTAACTAATTCTTCTCTCTTCCTCTTCTCCTTGCTATTTATGATGTTCTGTATCGTGAACATAACCAAACTCAGCCATCATTTTCCACACCATGTATCCTCCTTTGTTTAATCTCTCCTTGTTCAAGAAGCTATCCCCTTTCTCTGATCATCCTTGCTGTCTTTATTGTACCCTTTCTTGTTCTACCATATTCTTTTTGAAATGTAAGAACCAGAACTGCAGACAGTATTCAAGAAAGGGAATGACATCTGTATATGATGACACAGTAATTATTTTTGTTTTGTTCTCTCTTTCTTCATCAATTCCTAAGATTCTCTTCAACTTTTCTGATAATCTTGCAAATATAGTTTAAGTCCCCCCCCCATGTACTACTTTGCATTTATCAAAGCTAAATTTAATTTGCATATTATTACGCAGCCTTATATATTCTTCCACAGCTTTCATCATTGTGGAAGCTTTCATTTTTCCTACTATGGGTAATTCTGTACCATTGGCAAACCTAGTCATGTCATTATTTGTCTCCTATAGCTCATTAATTATGAATACGAGCCCTTTCTTTGAAGAAACAAAAGGTTCTTTCAAGTGTTCAAATCAGGTGCATTTTATCCTTTTCACTGCTACTTCACTGAAAATTTTCTGTTAGAAATGAGAAAGGTTATTATGTAGCTTCCCTTCTTGAAATTAGTAGTGTGGAAATTTTTTGAGGTATTTGCTAACACATGGCTTTTGAATTTGATTATACTCAGGTCACTGTAACAGAATTGGATCTTCATCATAAAATTTCAAATCAGGTTCTATGTAATCTCTGTATTGGTCTAGAGTCACCTGTTCACTTGTGTGCTCTCTAAGAAAGATGAAAACCTAGCATTTAAAAATTCATTCTCTATATCATGCCATGTCATTGCATTTACTAGGTCAATATGGGCAGAATAGAAGCCTCCAACTATTATTTAATTATCTATCTAGATAAAATCTCTAACCTCTTTAATATGCCAGTCACTGTTCCCATCCAGGCTGGCTGGTGAATAATTTAGCCTCAATACGATGAGTCTCCTATCAAAGCATGTAATTTAAAACAATTTTATGTTACTCACTGATAAAAAAAAAAAAAAAAAAAAAAAAAAAAAGATATTTATTTTGAGAGAAGGTTTCTATAATGTTTAGAACCATTTCTCCACTGGCATCATCTATTTTGTAACACCACATTGTAAATTAAATAGGAAAAATATCCTACATGTTACCTTCCTCCTATCACATTTAAAAAAATATTTTAGATTTATAGCTTCCTCTTCTAAAACAAGATGTTTCACTTTATTAATCTTCTTGTAAAACATCTATTGTTTGTATAAAAACACTTACATATTTGGTCTTCGTGTGTTTATTTTTTGTTATGTCCTGTCTAAATTGAACTCTGTTTGCCTCTTCTATTTCATATCTACACTTTGTGACCTCTACCTGTCCTTCATTTGAGGATACAAAAAAACCCTCACACTATTTCGCCTGTAAAGGAGGAGTTACCTTGAACTGTGTGTTCTTCCGTATGTCAGCTTTCTCCCACAAGTTTTTAAAAAGATGACAAAGCAGTTTTTACATGGAAGTACCAAGAATGTTAAGATGCTTGCAGTACTAATGTTTCCATTTACCTTTAGTTGTAACCAATCCTTCCCATAGGCTCATTTTTTTCAATTAACCCACCTTCCTAATCAGACTACATTTCTGTTCCCCTTTTTTTTTTTTTCCCCTCAACCATACCTCAAGTCTCACCCGCCATCCTGTTTCGCATATGGGTTTAAAAATATTTCACAGTAAAATTAAGACTTTTAGCTTTCCAACAATTCAATTTTGTTTGGGGCTATATCTTCACTATACATCTTTTCAGGACATCTTTTCTCAGACTATCTCTGTATTATTTTTATCTGTGTGTGCTATAGTAACTTATCACACCTGCATGACTGTTAATGGGCATTAAGAGGTATAGCACCACTGTATCAGTCACCTTGTGACTTTACCAGCATCACAAACCCAGTTAGCTGTATGCCCACTAACTGAGTCCTCCACTACTACAGTTCATATTGCTTCTTCCTGTTAGCTGGAATCCCAACTCCAAAGGGATAGTCTCAATGCAAAAGGAAAGTGTTAGGAAAGCCTCATCTATGGAACCACTTCCAGCCTTCAAACATGAAGTTCTCTGCTGCATGATCTCAACAGTACAAGGGCTGCGAGGGGAACAGAGTAGCTCAACAGTATTTCTGGAAGTTTCATCAGTGCTGCTGCTCTGTCCCTTGAGCTCCTTCTCTTTAGTCACCATGGACACCATCTCTGAGGACCATGAGCTGTCTGCACCATAAACATGCATAAGTTACCCACCTAAAGAAATAGTCCTGCTGGCAATGCCTACAAAGGAAACTGGGAAGCCCCATTTTGGCTGAAGTCCCACTACTGGCTTTTTTCATTTGGGATTTTTGGTTTTACTTTGGCAAGAGGATGGGAAGACAAGGTCTTGTTTTGGTCTCTTATTGAATAAGTAAAAGTAAATATTGAAAATATATATTTTTTTGGTTGGGTTTTACCATGTGTTTTTTGATTCAACCAAGGAGTTAGTCCCAGAGCCTTCATTTCTCTCTGTAGCCAAATTCCTGTCTACGTTTTTATCACCCTCAGTTCCAGGGCACACTCCGTGCTAGGACTCTATGTACTCAATAGGCTTTCATTAACAGTCCTAGATTTGTACCTGTGGGTGTCTGTACCTGTGAACTTTCAGCACACACTTCATCTAATTAGGCTGCTGTCTTCTGTTTCTATAATGAGGATTATTAGTTAAAGGCAAGCTGCCTCAGCGTCTATCAGTGAAGACTAGCAGCAGCATAGCCTCTTTTCCAGCCAAATTCATACAGTGAGACTTGGAATCAATTGAGCCTTCTAATTTAAACCTGCAAATTTGTTTTAGGCTATAAATTAGACTCTGTTACTCATACTATAGCAACAAAATGCCTGGCAATAGTCATGCTAACAGTCAGCCGTCAGACAAAGATACGATGGTATATATTTGGATATTGTAAGAAGGATTACATAATGGAGAAAGAACATTTCAAACATACCACATTCACTGGCTGATTCACCCACCAACTGGAAGAACTGCTGAGCAATTTTCAGATGATCTCTCTGGGAGAGGGAAAAAAAAATCCAACATGAGTTCCAGAGTTGATCCTACAATACACAGTGAAAATACGCTCTGAGGAACTGATGGGGAACAACTGACAGACAAACTAGGGCTGAAGTAAAACCAGAAAACATAATTGTACCACTTTTGTGGTAGGTACAATTGTGCCTAGATACACAAGAACACTGCAGAAAGCAACGAGTTTTTTTGGAAGCAAGACAGGGAAGCCAAATTCATCTTGATTTATTGTCAGGACTAGCAACAGAGATTTGCATCTTACTCATTCTGGACTGAGTACTGTACGGAAGAAGATTAAGAGACTCAGAGAACCTGCAATCTAAATGAGAAATGACTGCCTCTTTCAGTCCATTCCAGTCCCTACAGATCTGTTCACATTCTACTGTTGGAGAAGCTGGAGAACCTCATGGGCTTCACTCACCGAGCCCATTTCTTGTCCAAGTGCTGCATTTACCACTCCTTTGAGGATATACTCCTGAAAAAAAAAGTGAAAAGGATGAGAGAAGAAAACGTGAAGATTTCAGGAGACGTGTAAGAGCCTACGTGCGTATTATTTTCTTCCTATATTCAACTCTATCCCAAGTCAGTGTAATAGGTAGCTGGTTACTATGATAGTGCTTCAGCACAGTAGCAAAAAGTCACACCCCACCCACCCAAATATGTGGGATGCAAAGGGGTGGTGTGTTTTCTGATAAGTCTTATGGTCAAAGACAATGCACCAGAAGGAACACCATAACTTACTATCATGCCCTTTTCACCATTACATGGCCAATAGTCAAGTGCAATATTGTTATATTAATGCACAGATCCCACTTCAAGTATGCACATTGGTTAACCATAACCACTACCATCCTTGCTCCAAAATGCGTAGCGTTTCTCATCAGGGCAAAAATGTCAAGAGGTTTGTGCTCTGTGGTCATGTTACTCTACTGAAATTAGGAATAGAGTACCCTGTAGTCTCTACTATGAGATACAACTATAGTTTAATTCTTCTCTGAGCAAGATTTTCTCAGCATGTAATAGACTCATTTGTCTTATTCAAATCTTATAATTAAGAGTTATAGCTATAAACCTGGTTTAGTAGGTACTCCTGATAATCCTGGACAGCCCTGTCACAGATGTAAACACAGAAAAAGAGAAAGAGACATGTACACAGACCAAAAATGGAGTGCAGGAAACAATCTGAGAGTACTAGCCAGCATGCTAAGTAATTATTTTAGCACACCAACTCTCCTACAGATGCCAAATTATTATCCTATAGACATCATGACAACAAAGAAATTTGAGAACTGAAGGAGGATATACAAGTAAACTGAAGGAGGATATACAAGTAGTTTTGTAAGTCTTCGCACGAGTTCCTTCCAAGTGTGAGTGAGAAAATGGAAAAAAAAGCACAAAGATTCTCATTTCAAAATGTGATAAAGAATTATATCATGTTATTTATATTAGGCTTGTATATGGGAAAAACGGAGGCTGAAGGACCAATAGCTGCAGAAAACTGTTCAAGTAAGTTCTGCTATACTGAAAAATGCAAGGAGAAGTGAAAAGCAACAGCAGAAGACACTCCTCGGCACAGAATCACCAGACCTGTGTTCTCGAGATTTTCCTTTTCCTTCCCTCCATCTAATCCTCACACAGACTCATGAAAGGTCCCTTTCATGCCCAGCTATGTGACCTTTGGAAAATAAACTGCAAGGAGGAATAAATCAGAGACTAAAGATGTTGGAACAACCACAAAAGAAAATTACAGTAGCAGCCAAGGGACACTGCAGTTTTTGCTCATTGCAGCCAAAAGTAAGATAGAATTAGAAAAGACCTGTTATTTGAACTGTTTAATCTAATCTAGCTCATTTTTATTGAAATGGCTTCAGGACAAACCACATGAGCATCTGAGCTAGTAGATCTGTGGGATGGTAACCATCACCAGGGCAGAAGTGACAAGTAGCTGCAGTTGGAAGAGGGCTTTTATCTATGCACTAATGGTCAGCTCACTAGATCAAGTCTGCACACAACAGAGCTGTATTCTTATTGACCCCAGGTAGTATGGCAATAAAGATGCTAAGTACTCATATGTAATACTTTATGCGTGCACATTAAGTCTATTATTGTTGATAAAAAGATGGAAACACAAGAGTTTTAAAAGTGGGAGTGGGGCAAGCTGTCCTCGGGATACCAGTTTTGTATGTGGCAGATTTCATAACAATTTATAACCTCTGTCTTTATGGACCATGACATCAGTTTCCAATTACCTGTGGAGCTGTAGGTTCCAGGTCCTTAATCAGGTTATAAGCCTCCTGCACATCATCTGAAATACCAGACGTTAGAATGCATGACAACCCATAGCACACTGTATTAGAACAAGTCACTCATCCTCTACAACATTGCCCAATAGTCACAGACGAAGAAATAAAGCATTTAGACAGGAGGAGAAAGGTAACTATAAATCATTGTGAACTTATATCACAATGGTGATGGTTTTCTAGAACTCAAATAACAAACATGGAGTGAGTAATAGCTTCTTTATTACTCCAGTTTTCCTAGTAGAGATGACTTGGCCTCCTTGTTCACAATCCAGTGGCTGCCTTCTCAACAAACAGTACAAGGTCAAGAAAATAAATCCATCATCTTCCTGCCTTTTCTCTTGTCATATTTATTTACCGCTCAAGGAGGATAGGGTAACATGATTCTGAAGGGAAACTTCATCTTCTCCTTATCAATATTTCAAAATCTGTCCAGCAGCTCTTACCTGACTCTAATTCTAACAAGCAAAAAACACTACTAGTATAGAAGTTTAAATGTAAAGTTTGAATTCAATAAACAACTTCCTTCCCGCCCAAGAAGTAAGTAAACTGTAAAGATCCTAAACTTTACCTAAAATCAAAAAAAGATGTTGACACTATGGCTGACTTTGTAAACCAACGTAGTGAAGATGCCCTTTTTACTGGCAAAATATTGTTAATACAGCATTATACCAGCTGCCCATAGGAACAAGCCTTATCAAACAAAACTTTTTTTTGCTAGTACATACCATCCATTCCACATGGCGACAGTACTCCAGGGTGACTTAAGGCAATACACATTGGAGCTGCCAGGCTCCCATCCAGCCTCTCTGCTTTCCTACCCATTCCCTTGAGCAGTCACGTAGTAAGCCAGCACAGGTACTAGACTAGCCAAAAGTCATAACTTTTTTTTTCTTTTTTAAATAGAAATAGGGTTTTTTTGTTACTTTTGGCTAGCTCAGCTCACCAACAACCAACAGAAAAAAATGACAGCAGCCCTTATTTTCATCAGTGTAGACCATCAACACAGAACTATGCTCTTCAGGCTCCAACAGAAGCCCCTAGCAAATCTCACTGGAGCAGATTATGACTGGCTCCAAACCCTGCTAAAAGTCATTACCTTAAAGAGTTGAAAAAAATGGGATGTATGTTTGTGCTTCAGTCACTCCAGTTCAGTGCATGTCTTAACACAAGCCTACCTTTATAAGAGACCTTGTAAGTTTTGGAGAGACAGCTGTAGTCATTAGAAGTAATGATTTCTCACATTCTTAAGTGATGCTGCTACACTAGCAAGACTTTAAAATGGAAACTTAGCCTAACCAGGAAAGAGATTTTAATCCTAATTCCCCTTGGCCTCCTTTGTCAGTATGCAAATCATTTGTATACCACAGTGAAGAACAGAACCTAACTAATGAAAATTACTGCAAGGTTGACAGCAAATGAGTAAACAAGACTGATTTTTAAATGATGTGGAAGGTGTACTTTGCCTCTGTATAAGTAGAACTTAATTTGAAACATATATTAACAATATTATTGGGCAAGATAATTGGTAATAATACCAATATTATTGTTGTCAATATCACTACAGGTAATGCTGGACAGAAAGGTGGCTGGGAACAGCAGGTATAGATTTACCAATGCCAAAATGTACTGACTAACCCAATGGATGACTGGTTGTATGGATAAGGGTATACTAGTGGATGCTGTATACCTTGACTTTAGCAATGTCTTTGACATGGTCTCTTATACCTTTGTCATAGCCAAACTTGAGAGATAGGACTAGCTAAGTAAGACGATAAGGAGATGGAAAACTGGCTGGACTACCAAAGCATGGTGATCAGTTGTACAAAATCCAACTGGTGGCTCATTACTCATGGAATCACCCAGGGATTGATACTGTTGAATGTCTTATATTAACAACCCAGATGATTGGGTAGACAGTACTCTCAGCAAGTTTGCAGATGATAAAAGATTAGGGAGAACGCTCCCAGCTATTAAGAAGAAGCTCAACAGGCTGAAAAAAAAAATGGGCTAAAAGAAATCTCATGAAGTTCAATGGAGGCAAAATGCAAGTCCTGCATCTTGCTTGGTTTGAAACAATCCTAAGCAACAAGACAGGTAGGGGGGCTGACTGACTAAAAGGCATCCTGGATGTCCTGACAGACAGTGTACCCTTGCAGCAAAGGAGGCCAACTGCATGCTGGATCATATTAGCAAGAATGTAGCCATCAGGGCAAGGGAAGGGATTCTTCTCTATTTGGCACTTGTGAGATTGCACCTGGAGTACTGTGTCTGGTTTTGGGATCCCTCGATCAAGACAGACATTGAAATAATGGAGTGAGTGCACCCAAGGGCTCCCAAAGCATGTAGGGGCTTAGGAGAGGTTGAGAGAACTGCATTTGCTTTCCTGTCAGAGGAGAAGGCTCAAGGGAGATCTTATCACTGGCTACAACTGACTAATGGGAGGGTACAGAGAAGATGGAGATAGATTCCACAGGGTGAGATGAAAGGCAGTGGACACAAGGTGGAACAGAGGAAGCTCTGACTAGATGCTCCTCTGAACAAGGCTCTAAGCAACCTGATCTAATTGGACCTGCCTTGAATAAAATGTTGTGCTAGAGATCTCCAGAGGTCCCATCTCACTAATAATGTGATTCTGTTATTTACCTAGAACTCTATAAATTTATACAATATAAGGCAGGTGATAATGTACTTTTAATAACATACAATTATGACCATTTGAATTTACTTGAGAATGTATACCTAATTTACAACCATGATAAAATTTAAATAACCTCTCATGAAATTTAAATAACCTTATTAACAAAATAGGGATAGAATTGCCATATTTTGTGAAGACTGTGATGTCTGCAGATTAGCAAAGTCAGATTAATGAGATTTTATTGCACAGTATTAGCCACAATAAGAATTTCTGTAATTGCTAATAGCCAGTAGTAGTGGGATATTCTAAAATTTGTCACAGTTTGAGCTGAACTGAAATGACAAGGCAGTGTTTCAATTGCACATGCAGACAAAAGAAGCAGTCCTGCATACAACTGAGCACCAAAGAGAACTTATTCCAACTACAAAGATTAAACCACACCAACCTTGTTGATTACAAATAATAAAGATGTTACTCAGAATCAGTATCTGAAACTCCAAGTCAATCACACTATAAAAAGCTCACAGAGCTTCTTCAATGTATGTTTACATACGCTCAGATTCTCTGATGAACTTACTGGGATGCAAAGAATATAAAGTTGGTGTGACTTACTTCTGCCAGCAGAATATCCCTCCTTTTTTGCCTGGTAATTTTTCAACATTTTGGAAAAAAAATCGCAGACATGGACTTTATTTATTTAAAAAGTAAAAAACCGACATTTTTCTGCTTTCAGATGCTCTGGTCATCTAAACTTATAGCGTCACCTTTAAAAGGTGACAAAATACAGGGCTTATAAGAAAGCAGTGGATGGAAAAGCAATCATCACATCACCTTATATTAGATGGCTGCAGTTAACACCTACTCATCACTCAGCCAGTCAATCCACTATTGAATAAAGGGACACAATGGGTGAATAGGAATGGCTCTGAAACTAAACTCAGATAAAATTCAAAGGAGTCGGCCAGCTAAGGAGAGAAACAAGTAGAAAATGCTTTCCAGCTGATTCTGGCTACCTACCTGCATTCTTTAGGACTTGTAAAGTAGATTTGGAACGAAATGTCTTGTTCACAAACTGTAGCTGCGTTCACAGTCACTTTGTCTCATATTCTGTTTGTGCCATATTTACAGAAATAGTTGTCCTTGCCTTCGTAGGACATATGCCTATCATTCTCACATATTCAGGCAGAGGAGAGGTCCTCTCACTATAAACCTATAAACACCACCATCCCGCTACCCAAGAACCTCCAATACTCTGCTGAAGTAGATTTATTTGACTGCACATAATTAAAGCCCTTCTCTGCAAGCCATGGGAACTCTTACATCACTATTTTCCAGAGGAACAGAAAATGAAATAAATTACATTTTACTGCAAAGAAAAAAAAAAAAAAAGGCATTTCATGGAATATTCAGTTGAGATCAGATGAATGAATGTCATCCCTGAAGGTATGAAAGAGCCAGAGGAAGGTGTATTTACCTTGCCGGAGATAGTAAATCACAAGATTCAATCTTGCCTCAGGAATAACATCAACCAGAGGAGGCAGGACCTGCAAAGCCCCTTCTCCTCCTCGGAACACCACCTGCAGAGAAAAGCAGCATATTGATAACTGTGTATAAAAATCTTGTCTATGATCTCTTAATTCAAGGAAATTAATCCTTAAATTCCTATATTAACAGTAGGAACAGGTCAGTGGTACTGGCATTAGCATAATCTCTGCTTTAATGTAACTACAGAATTACAACGTGTGACAACCTTTATTCTGAAGAATATAAAGCATTAATCCATCAGTAAAGATTAACTTATTTCAGCTTTTAGCAGCTTAAAGCAGCGATACATTATATATCAAAGATTTTAAAGAACAATATGGTCTGAGACAAGAGTGAGGGGAACATATACAGAATTACAATTTGCTTATGAGGTATTCATATTAAAAAAATCAGGCTAACAACTCTGCATTTATTTAGAACGCCACAAGATCCTAAAATGATCAGGACCAGTTGATGCTTTATACTTCAGTTTCACATGACAGTTCTTTCCACAAAGTCTAACATACTTACTCAATAAATGACTGGCAAAAGACCAACATTCAAAATAAAGAATGTTAACTTACAAAAGTCCAGTTTGAAACCAGTTTTAACTCTTGGGGAAAAAAGTGATAGCTTATTGTGACTGCTCTTGAAGAACAACAAAGCAAGCAATTGCCCGTCATTAAATAAGAGCAATCTACTGTTACTGGTTGTTCAGCAAAGTAATAATACCACGGCAGGGAAAATGACCAGGTCATTAGTGACTCTTTTACTGAAGAACACACAAGTATTTTGGCTTTTATCAGCACCTTTTTCCCCATGAACTCCTTGTTAAGTACTTTTTGGATGAAGACCATTTTCCCGAGTTGTCTTAATTCCACTCACATTGTTGTTGTACCAAATAAGAGTTCAGGGTCATGCATTCTGACTTGTTTCTACATTGTCCTTATTGACATAAGGACATATCTTGCGAAGGTGTTCTTACAGGACATAAATTATTTTAAGATGCCTTCGGGGGTAAAAGCAACGGCATTATTATTTTCTTGACAGTCTCAAACTGACAGGGAAAAATTCTAGGAAAAAAAATACACTTGATGCCACATTGATTACACAGGTAGGATTTCTTGAATGGCACTTATATGGCAGTAGAGATTCAACTGGGTCTGCAATTCCCAAAATATTCCATTTTATGAATCATCAGGAAAAGCTCTACAAATGAATGAAATTCATATTAAATCTGAGAAATGTATTACTCACCAGATTGTGCTTAATGAGTTCCTTGCCAAACTCAAAAGACGATGAGGCACTGTCTGTCAAGTTCTTGAGCTCTGCCTGGAATTACATACATTCCAAAATTTTAACACAAAACCAAAAAAGCACACAAGCATAAATGGAGCTTCATATGAGCCCCAAAGCTGATAGAAAGACATCTCCAACAGTGCTGTGTCACTAGAAGATTTTTGCCTTCCCAATTCTAGGTGACAATTTCAGCAATTGGATAATACATATAGACACAAGGTCAAAAATGGACTGGGAAAACTGTAAGACCACTGTGCACACATGCGGACAGATGGCTTAATACCAGGGAAATTGAAATGGGTGACATTCCTAAGAGAAGGACACAATGACAAGATAAAGGCCATTATCAACATTACTGATCAAGACAGATAACAAGGAAAAGAAACCTGTATGGAATCTTGAACTAAAATAAAGGTGAACTGAAGGGCTGTCCAGTAGATACCTCAGCAGCCTTCCCATTGTAAAGTCGGAAATGGTTACAAGCCTTAAGGTTGAGAGCAATGGTACTGTCAGGAACTTGCTGAAGATAAACAGCTAGCACCTCCTGTGATACATCATAGTAATCCAGTTTGTAATAGCATAGGGCCACATATACATTCAGAGCCAGGTATTCCCTGTGGGAAAGAGGATTAAAGAGAACATTTATATCCCACCAGACAGTTATACTACAGAACTTTAAAATCAGTAATAAAGCTCTCACATGTCTATACATTTTTTACAAGCACGTCAAAACTGGTGTTTCTGAGAAATGCTTATTAGGTATCTTTAGAGCTCTAGTTTGTTAGATAAGATCTCACAGATCCAGATACAGATTCACATTAGTTTTTTCAATGGCAGCTACTGCTGCTTTAAAGAATTACCTACAAAACCATTGGTTTGCAAATCTGGGAAATGGTGGCAACTTCACACTATGGAAATGCACAGAACATGAGCACTGTACTTGGCCTGCCAGAATAGGATTTTCTATGCAATATATGCAAAGACATTTAATATGCACATAAAACTTTTAAAATATTTTAATGGATCTTATTATCTTATACCAACTACAATTATTTCAAAAGATCCTTGCCATTACAGAATATCAAGCCAGAAGAACTAGACACAAAAATCAGACAGACATTTGTGGTAACAGTAAGTAAAAGGATAATTGTTATGAAGGTTACTCATTTAGCTTTGAGTGATTGCTTCTACAGGACTTGGAAGTTAAAATCTTTTCCCCAAGCATTACACGACATACTTATATACATTATGATGGACTTTCAGCTTTCTCTGAAGTATTTGAGAGGAGATATTGCCAAAAGATAGCTACATATGCTGGGACAGCAGTTTCTTTTATTAAACAATACTCCCAGCCACTTAAGAATCCAATTTGTTCCTTGTTAAATTCTGAACTAAGAACTTGCAGAAAATTATTGAAAAAAACCCCCACTAACAAGTGTCATAGCAGGATAAATAGAAATGGAAAGAATTTCACACTTAAAAGAATGCAAGGAACTCTCTACATAAAAACTAAGAACTGAACCCTTCTTGGAAAGGCTAAGAGGCGAAGCAGAAGTCAATAATCACAAGCAAGGGTCACCAGACTGGCCATCAGAGGGGGAAAAAAAAAAAAAAAAGAAAAAGACAAAGACAAAGCAGGTACATAACCGTATATCATTTCAGAATAAATAAGGAGCAAAATAAAAAAGAATCTCAGAATGAATTACAAGAAAATATCGCTAAAAGAAAGCAACAGACAGCAGACTTCTTTTTAAACATGCATTTTTCAATAAAGATTTGCAATGAACAAAATTGAGGGGGCTGCAACTTGTGCACGTTTTGCGGTGGGAAAGGGACATAGTAATTGGTGAAAATTCCTACTTTCAGAAAGCAAGCAACTAAATGGGATTCAAATACCAACAGTATCAGAGGCACTGCAATAAGGTTTAGAGTAGAGATGCCCACCGATTATCAAGAAGAATGCGTTTGTAGATATCAATAGCTTCTTGGTAGTGGGACCGCATGTAGTGGATAGATGCCAAGCTAAGCTGATCTTCTGTAATGTCTTGCAGATTCTGGTGAGAGCTCATCAGTTTCTTCTCATCACTGAACTAAAAAGAGTGTGACACATTCTCAGAAGAGTTCAGTGAGAAAAATGTTTTAATTAGCTGGATTAGTTTTGTCCTTACTGGTAAACAGCAGGTGATTCATATTAAATATCTGGAAAAACTCTGTTACTTTAAAGTTAATTTGACCAGTGAAGAAAGCCAAATATTAAAGAGGCAGACCAGTTGAAACTAGATAAATGTGAGGCTAAAACTAAGTACACATTTTCCTTTAAGGTGTGATTTAGACATAATTACATGTCACATGCCTTGATGGATAAGAGGGGAAGAGCTGAATTAATTATTTCACAAACAGAATTTTGCAACACAAGATTTGACTGTTATTATTCAAGTCAACAGAAATTTTGCTGTTTGTAGACCCAAATCTTATTTCTCATGGATACCAGAAAAATGCAAGACTTGCCAACACACAAGCACTAATTTTCACAAGACTTCTTTACAGCACTGACAAATTCTCTTTCATCAGCCCTTTAAAATTCCAATTTCTTTAACTAAATGGTTTATTAAAGCATTGCTGTACAGCACATAACACACACACAAGGATAAAAGCAAGGAACAGAGTTAAACATACCCATTATATTTGTATTACAATAGTGAAGTTGAAGCCATTCACCTAATCAGTCTACTCAAATCACTTATTCCAGTGCTTTCCTTTGCTGCTTCTGCTGATTCAACAGTAATTATTCATTTCTCTTACACACAAATTCTATCTTATGTATTTGTTTTTCATCTATCTGCTCAGTTTTCTTCAAATCCTCTTCCTCCTTCTTTGAGCCCGTCACAAAACGATACTCCAGTACAAAGGCAAGAGAAGTTGCTTAACAGAACTAAAGGCAATGGGCTTCATAGTTTTGTAAAAACCCTTTATTACCAAAGACTAACTACATGAACTAGGAATTATCCAACTTCTCTTTATCACAGACATCTATAAGTGCCAGTGCCACTACAAAAATGTTTTAAGATTTCTCTCTTAAACTTCACAGAGATTTAAGTAAAGAGAATCTGACACCAAAGCTAACATTCAGGATTTATGCGTTCTTTCACTCAAAACTCAGTCTCTTTGGTAGTACAATACTTGTTAAGTATAACACAGGATGGTGCAACCCCAAATTTAAGGGAAGATAGCTATGTGTGGTAAATGAAATAAGCATTTAATTGTCGTTGAAATTAAAGGAAAGTAAATTTCATGCTGTAAACAATATTACTTCTTGGACACTGAATGACTTAAGAGGATCAGTAATAGCATATAGAACATTTTGCTCAAATTGCTAAGTATAAGACAGCTGTGAGTTAGGAAAAGTTGGTACACTTCAAAGAAAAAAAGAAAAAGGAGTGGCTTATACATTTCTGATTCTATTCCAGTCCCAGGTTCCTCGTGATCAAAAATACCATCAAGTTCCTGTTGTATGACTTACTTGCAGTGAGTTGGTAAGACTTTCCTTAGATACATGCTGAGGGCATCTATTCTGAGATCATGTTTTCACACTTACTTTCTCCTCCACATTTTAATACAGTAGGGTGGTTTTGAAAAACGTTTGTTCTCCTGCTACCACAGACATTTTAATTATTCTGCCAGGTTGCCAGCATAAATTACACATTACCCAACTGAAAAGAAAACAAACAAAGCATGAGTGAAGAAAAGACATCATACCTTATGTGCCAGGTGAAAGAGTAAACGGTTCTGAAGACGACTCTTAGGTGCTGTAAGGAAAATTCAGTAAGCATCACTGCAAGAACAACTCAGGGTGTCTCTATTTTATTTTTAACTCCCTTTCTCGATAGACATACATGCACCCATATTCTTTCATTAACTAGCCCAAGTACAATTCTTTGCAGGTCATGCCCTGGGGCAGGTTCTACCAATTTTAGTGGTTGAAAGGCCTTCCTGCTTCCTATCTTCATTCCTTGCCCCTTTCTTTTGAAATCCCTGTTGAAAATAACTTTTCATCAGCCTCTGCCTTCCATGAGCTTTAAAACTTTTGTGAATTGCACAATCATTTGCCTGCAGAGCTTTCTGGATAGCTCTCTGATTTTGCACAAGTGACACACAGCACAGCATCTTTTACAAAATAAAAAGCAGTAACAGACAAACTCATAATCAAGGCTCCTTCTAAAATATGTCATATTTCAAGTAAAGTTGTGATTCATAATTCTAGGAATCTTGTCAGCTTCCAGTGTATTGCAAAACCCATTGTGGCTACCATTTTGTTATGTATGCACATTATATTATACGTAGTTCTAATATTTCTTCTCTCCTTAGGAACAAAAGGCACATGAAAGAATCCTGCAGTCAGAGCAGATAAGATTCAAACTAAGATATGGCAAGAGATTTAAGGGAGACATCTCCTTTCTAGAGCCACTAAAGTTCATGAAATTTCTTGCTCTAGCAGGATTAGGAATTCCATTTAACTCATTCCATATGACACAAATTGTTAACTGTAGAGCTTTAAGTCACTAGGGAGAGCCTTGTGCTTCACTGAGAGTGACAAAGGTCCTCGTCCAACAGAGCTATTAATTTCTTTTGCAAGCAATCGTCCAAAAAGCCTTCCCTTGTTTCCTGTATTTTCTTTAGCCTACTCAGTTAATGAGCACTCTCATTCTTGCTCAGACCAACCAGCTGGCAATCTATGTTCCACAGAAAGGATGTACATGGAATCTTTACAAAAAGCAGAATTACTGTGTTTATGAGGCCACAAAAGTGCAGAGTTAGCAAAGCAATGGCCTGTAACACAAGGCTATAATTCTTCTGACATCCTAAACCATGAAAGAGCGCTCAAACCACCAAAACCTCTTCCCTCCCTCCCTCCCTCCAAGATGGAATTTTCTAGTAATAAGTTAGATCTTTTTTTTTCAAAACCAATTTAGGAAGAGATTTCCAGACTTTACTCTTTCTCCACATCGTAAGAAAACTTTGTAACACAGTGAACAACGCCAAAACCCAAGCCATTCTCATCAGGTTGGCAGTGTAAGGCTGTCTACCTACTTCTGACAGGCACAGCAATTATTTCTCCCCTTTTCTCCTTCCCAAGCTGTGTTATTTAACTGTGTTCCTAGAAAAGGAGGACAGTGAACTGTATCTTTAAAGAACTGCTAGAATGGAGAAGCCTCAAAAGGCAAAGGCCATATGAGAGAGTTCTCACAAAACCACAACATCTTGTGAGGTATTACTAACAGAACATGAAGTTGTTAGGAAGCTAAATGGTCTTCAATCTAGGATATATGTGGGAATTCTCATTAGTCTAACTATTAAAGAGCGGAAAGTTTTTCTGACCTACAATCAATATTATATAAGCAGCAGTAGTAGTATAACTGACATGATAGTACATTCTAGAAATGACTTTATTCGTTGAGTTAGAAAGTTAGAGTACCTTAATTTAAATGCATGTTCTTCAAAATGTTGTCAGCAATGATACTGTGGTAACTCCACATGTGCCCCAGCATTAATTGATAGGTTTTAATATCAAAGTTTAGAAGGGTTGCACATGGACCCCACATGTGCTTTTGTGCGAAAGTTAGACCAACCACAACCACCCCTCACAATTCAAAACATTTGATCATCAAAGACTCCAAAAATATAAGCAGGACAGATTGTGGGATTTACACTGAAAATAACATATTGTATAATCACAGAACTATGGGTAAAGACACCAATGTTCCTTTTTTGAGTAGGTTTTGTTTCTTTTTTTTTCTTTTGAGTGAAGCATTAGCTTCACTGTGAAAATTGTGACTTGCAAGCAATACTCCCTCAAGAATCTACACCGAGGAATTCTTGTTTCACTGGTCAGCCAATGACTGCAGTGCTGCCCTCACAAATCTGGCATCTGATCTAACATCAAAATTATTACTTACTTCTTGGCAAAAGCTGGAGGGTTAGTCCACGTTATTTTACACCTAAAAACAGGCAGAAGATGAAACCTGAGCTCTGATGGTGTGCATGGATATATGGAGGGAGAAAAAAATGTCCTGCTTCCTAAGATATTATATGATACTATCCATTTGATATTCTTTAAAACAATACACTTTTGCTTAATGTCAGCCAGAGGAGAGGGGCAAAACCCAAGAAAATATAGTCCTGTCGATATAGTAAGCAGAACCATGGCAACATTCAATATCCGCTGTGTCTTTTCTCCCAGTGCCAAATGCATTTTTTGAGGAAGAAAAGGAAACATATGAACAAGGTCAGATTAGTTTCCAGAAAGAATTTGGTTATGAATATTGGATAAAGCTGTTATCACTTCCTGCTCCAGTGATTGACACAACTGCCTTATCAAAGATAATGATTTTTAAGGGACATTAGGCTTGTTATTTCATTACTCTCTGCTGCTACTGAATTTCATTGTCACTGATCTGTTAATGCCACAAGGATGCACGATCTTTTCCTGTCCTACTTTTTCAAGAAGAGGACTGTACATTTTTTTTTTTTTTAAATCAGTACTAAGCAATCTAGGGATCATAATGAAACATGATGACAATGCTGCATGGCAACAAACTGGACCCTGCTCCAGGTCTAGTATTGGCCTTGTGCTGAAGACATCACTGAGGTAGCTGGATAGGATATATCTCTTTCCAGCCAGGAAACACACCGATATTCCTACACTAGAATTTTTGTCATGATCAGTGCTGATATTCCAGGCACTACAGTCATAGCTGACGTTGATCTTAGAAGTGTTCTGTATATTTTTATGTGCTGACACTGAACAGGCACCTAGCGAAGTACTTGTTAAAATATAACAAACAGCTACAATAAGAGTGAAGACAGTTATCTTCACTAATTATTAAACAAAAAGTTAAGCTTACTAGAAATGGCAGCTCAGACTCTTTGGTGGGTTCCATATAGCTGCCACATGCAGTAAGACAATGATGAAATACAGTCATGGACAATCTGGCATTTGTGCCCTCTTGTAAGAGTGCAAGGCAATGCTGGTCATACATCCAGCATTAACAAATCCCATCTAGCAGACATAATGCCTACGCTATAGCAGCACTTCACACATTAACAGACACAGAACATGTCGTAAACATACATAGCAGGAGCTGGTAGGAATGAAACAGTGCTGAGAAGGTTCCAGCCCGACAGCACAGAAAATATGACCAGAGGAAACCTTATTCTCCTGTCCCTGAGAAACAACATCCTGCTCACCTGAATACAGTAGCTGAATGAAGCCCTCTGTGCCCCAGAACCACAGTCTCACTGGTGGAGGGAAAATGCAAGGGTATGGGAAAAATGTTCAGAAAAAACATGGTCCAACAGTGAGGTTCACACTTACACACACTTGAATAGCTCAACTGTTCAGAATTTTCTTGAATGAAATTTACAGAGGACATTTATTGAAATTTTCCCATTCCCAAAATACTTAAAAGCCAGTTCAGCTGTGTTCAGTTATTTGCAATATATACACATTTCATTTCAGTCATGCCTAAGCACAGTAAAGACCATTGAAGCAAAAAACTATCAATTATTCCTGTTCTGTAGATTCTACTATACTTCAAAAAGCAGAACAAGAAAATAAGGTTAGTAGCTTTTGAAGTTTAAATATGTATAAATTGATATTTTCACTTGTGCACTTTGAAAGTTCCATATATTGAACTCTGCTGGTTCAAAACCACGGCTAAAATGCAATGAAAATGAACTACTGTTCTCAAGAAATACAGTACAAGCAGAAAGCAGGCAATTTTGCTTGTAGGTGAACATGCAGTCTAAAGAAAAAGAAAACCCAGCAACTTTTTCATGCCTGCTTGTAACTGCACATTTTTACTGGTGACAACTATCTAACACATGGCAAACATTAGTACATGCATAAGCAAAACTGGTTTGGAAAATGTCATTGTTCTTACTAACCCATCTCTGTTCTGCTTTTGTACTATATTGCTCTTTCCAGTATTGGCTGTAAAATGAGAAGTATCTCTGTTCAGTTAAACCACATTCAGATCTGACACATGCAGAGTTGTGAAGAAGTAATTAAAGCTTTGTCCGTTCAAAAATTAGAAGGGAGAAAAAAAAAAAAAAAGAAAAAAAAAAAGAAAAGAACTTTAATGACTGGTTCAGCAACACAATCCTGTCTGTGCATGAATCTTAAATTTAATTGTAAAATTCCATTTATCCTAAAAAGACTGTTTTTCATAACAGATTTAACTGCAGCCCCACTTATGTGCACATTTTGTGGTTTAAAAGAACACTGGTAGTTCTTGTGTTTTTCTTAATGCAGTGCTAGCCAACGACTTCTGAGAGCACTATGCAGGCTTCTAAACACTGGGATCCGTTGCCAGGATCACCGTGCAAGTGTGCCAGGCCGAGTTTCTGGTCCTTGTCCTTTGCAAGGCACAGGAACTGGGAATGCAACATAAGATTATTTGGTTTTATAATTAAAAAAACAGTAATTTATTATTATTATTTATTAAACCAAGATGAAGACTTTCAGCCTTGTTCTCCCAAGACTAGATGGGCTAGCACACAGCATGGAAAACATATGTTCAGCCAATGTATGAGAGCACGGGTGCAAAAGGAGTAAACAAAGCATCACTTGGCAGCTTCACTATAAGATGACTATGAAACAACAGTAGCTGACTTGAAGTAACTCTACCTTCACCTCAGATCCAGGAACATTAGTAACTGAAATGTAAGGGGACAGCAGGGAAAAAGGAGAAGCCAGAAATATCTGAAATGAATTTGGAAGAAAGCCTAGAGGAGATAAAGTACAACTGTAATGAAAAACCTTCAAAGAAGGATTTTTCTTTGTTGACTTTTTGCTCTACTTCTTAGATTATATTTTCAGTAATTCTAGTTTATATGACTTTTGATATGCAGATTTATTCTTTTGTGAGAGAATATACCATGAAGTTTTAATTAAGTAACGACGAGCTAAGAGAACACTTCACATCTATTATGAAATAAACATAAAAATTTGCTCCACAAGAGATTGTGGACTACATATCTTGTATGAAATGCAATAATTACTTCATGGCTTTTAATGCTTATTTCCTATTTTTTAAATATCCTGCATATTTTTCCTTAGACAGTTAACAATATTTTTCTTAAGCAATAGCAACACTACCTGGCAAGAAGGAACTTATATTTGATTTCTAGATATCTACATGTTTGTGTGGAAAAACTATTCCAGAAAGCTAGCTGACTTTTATGTTCCCTTTCACACAGAGATTCCATCACTGAAGAAATTTAGAATTATAGCTGAAAATAAATTATTTCTCCCTCATTTGTTTTAGCACTATGCTACTTTCAGGGGCTTAGCATAACTGCAGCAATAAACAGCAAGCAGTATGCAAGAATTCAGGCAAAATAATCCCAAAATAGCAATGGTAAGCAGCCCAACACTAACACTACCTATCATTTTTTTCAGCAGTATTCAAGGCAGTACTGGATAAATGGTGTTCTTCTAGAGACTTCACCTGTTGTGTCTATATCCAATGAAATATTTTACTTCTTCGGGATCTTTGCAAAATAATGGAAGAGATCACAAGATGTTATGACGCAGCTGTCAATAATGTATTTCAAACAGCCATCACTGATGCAATCCTAAGATGTTAAAAAAAACTAAAAGAGGATCTGTCTTGAGTGAAAATAAAATGGTCCAATCTCAGTGTAAGAAAGACTGAAGTGATGGGAGTGGAAAGGGGAATATACAACACTTGGAAGCCTTCAATGGAGAAACGACAAGCATTACAAATCTTCCGCTGTGACTGCCTCGCCACCGAACTTAAGTAGCCAGAAATCATCAGTATTACAGCACTCAGAAGAAAGGTTTAGCACCTCACTATAAAAACTGGCATGCTCTCCTTCTTAAACAATTACATAAAATCAGGAACTGATATTACTAGCATAAGCACTCACTTATTCTCTGTTCCCTCCCTCGGCTACACTCCCGACATCTTGCACTTCTTTCTTAATATTCTATCCTTTCCTCCAGCACCCGAGTACCACTAACCACACCCCCTACCCTGCCATTCACCATGCTACTATGAACTAATCTGAAGGGGCATGAAAAAATTAACCTTCCCTCACTTCCAGGTCACAGTTAATAAAGGTGCATGCCCAGCTGTGTATCTGTCATCTCTAGAATGGATTACTGTAATTCACATGATGTGAAGCTGATGACAATGACTCCGACTGGTACAGGATGCAGCCGCTTGCTTCCTCCACGGTTTAGGTCAAAGTGACACCTCAGGCTCTATAGCCCAATTATTTTTAGATTCCAGTTCAAGTCCTAGATTGTAATCTCCAAAGCTTAAATTATTATCTGTGAATATTAGAAATATATGCACCTCTTGACCGCTACAGATCACAAAGCTCTGCATGAAACTTTTTACAGTTGGAAACAAAACATTTCCAGCTGTGGGATTCAAGCTCAGCATGAACTTTCAGAGGATTTTAAAGGGATACGAGAATCTAATTATTTCTAAAAAATACTACAAAACTGTAGTTTTTGAAGGCACCCCTTCACAGTAGAAGAAAGTACACAATTATTTTCTTCCTACCCTATTTTCAGCCCAAGACTAGAAGACTAAGAAAAAAAATAAAAACCCCATACTTCAGTAAGAGTTTTATCCTAAAAAGGCAAGAGTCAGAATTTGACTGAGAACATTACTACTATTAATTCTACTTAGAAAGTACTGAGATACTATAGTTATGGGAAACAATATAAATCACTAAGATAAATAGAAAGTGAGGGGTAACAAAATTAAACTGCAGAGACATTTTTAGGCAGTAAAAGTTGCCTTGGAATCTAATTTCCATTCCTCCTCTTTAAATGATCGCATGCATGTTCAGATTAAAGTAGAACTGTAACAATGTGACTGCAGTGAACTCCATGCCTTGAAGAATCAGATACCTAATATCTGACTTATAAGCAACAAGACCACCTACTAAGTCACTCAAACTCCATAAACAAAGTTCTTGTCCACATCAGGGAGAATGCTGAACTCTCTCAGATGCTTGTTTTTTGATAATTTCACCAGCCTAATTAGCTTCATCTGTCAGAGACATGGAATCAGTCAAAAGAAAAGGAACTTTTTGTTGCTGCTCAGCATATGCTGGGTTTTTTATTTAGAAATTAATAAGAGAAATTATTGTCCAGATGCTTCTTTCAGTTCCAGCTGCTCCACCTGCCCAAGGTATTTTTAGGAAGCAAACTGCATCATAACTCTTCTACTAAATGAAAAAAACACCCAAACAAAATAACCCAAACCAAAAAAACTTTGCTCAAAAGTATCCTTTAGTCCTATGAAAAAAAAGCATTGAATACTTTCTCTGGAAATCACTTTAACTGTTCAAGTCAACAAGCAGTCCTTTCCATCAGAGACATACATCTTACCTTTCAAGGCTGCTTGTTCAGCTTGCTTATACATCCCCAGAAAGAAGTAGGTACAGGCGAGGTTCACCCAAACATCTGGATTGCAAGCTGGTTGTTTGGTTAAGGCCTCATATTCCTGTAACAGAGGAGAGGGTTGATTTTTTAAAAATGCATAATAGCACAGATTTGTATTAAATATCATTCTTTCTTCCACCATTTTACAATGTATCATTAAATTATTGAGATCAAATGACTTATTCTCAAGTTCATTGCAGTCCTTGCAACAAAACTATTGCATTTTAACCAAAGATACGTCCCTAGCTCTTTTTTGTTTACAGCAACAGAACAGACAACAGGAGCAAGCAGTGCTCTAAATTTTCACTGTAGGAGCATAAATTCTGTCAATACTGAAGTTAGAAATATATAAAATGTATTTATATTATTACATACTTATATATTATTATAAATATGTTATTATTTATAAATACAAAAGATTAATATATTAAAGTTATAAAGGCACCAACATAACCAACTTTTCCTCAAGTCTTTTCTGATGCTTTCCTAACTTCTCCTCCAGTCAAAGCCTGGGAGCCATAAACACCAGGAAAATCTCTTTGTGAATACTTACTGGAACAAGTGTTAAACATGCTTTTATAAACCTGTAGGTAGTGTCTTAGTATAGATTAAACCAGTGGTCTCCTAAGTGGGGTGTGTGCACCCCAGCGGTTGTGCAGGACAATACCATCGGGTGCAGGAAGAAAACAATTTTTGGTACCATTAATAACTAAAATAATTATTTAAAAAATCATGTTTATTTCATCTTTATCTCATCCTTTTTTAATTTCTATTTTTGTGTATGTTTTATAATTACATCTTAGTACAGTAGTACATGCATATAATTTATAAATATATATGTATGTATGTATATTGGGGAGCGTGCTAAAAATTTTTTTACTGACAGGGTGCATGATCAAAATTGTTTGGAGACCACTGCATTGAATACAAGCCTACAAGTTGGTATTGGGCAAATTCAAGATTTGCTAATAGATAAAGATAGAATTATAGTAAATATTACTAAACTGTGCCTAATTTCACCATTTCCCATTTTAAAACTTACAGCCAACAGCTACAGAAAACCACTAGATAGCATATTCTATATTTCTTACACATAACAGTATTAAGGGATATGGAATGAATGTGGATATAAACTGCTTCATTTCTAGTTATTTGTGAAACAGTAAAAACTTAACAGATAATCTTTCACTCTACTTTTCTAATGAAGAAAAACTTTGCAGCTACCAAACAGTGATATTCCTGAAGATAAACATCTTTGCTCTGCCTAACAATAGGTACTAAAAACAGAGGCAGGGAGACCTCTTGCTGCCATTTTTTTTCCTCTGTTAGGTTTCTGTTAAATTACTAAAAGGACCATCCCAGTGAAAGTGCCTCCTGCTGGTTCTCCTGCACTCCATCCAGTCATGTCCAGCAGGCAGCATAAGACAAAGCAGGCACGGTCACACAAGGTTCTCACAAGACCTGCTGAAAGAATGCCATCCACATACTTCCCAATCACCGGAAGCCTCTCATCCCTCCCAGCAACACAACCCCTTGCCGACTCTGTACTCTTCCTCCAAACATATGAATTGGAATTTCCCGCTGCCTAGGGAGAGTTTACCAGATTGTGCCACTACGGGTGGAAGACTTCTTACCTCTGGGGGAAAGGCAAAGACGTATATATAGCAGTAGATAAAATAAGCCATGCCCAAAGGACAGTGAATCCCAAGAACAGAAACATGGTGACAACAATAAAGTTTATAGCTTGCAAGCATAAAGAATTTTTTTTTTTTCTGTTGCCAAGTGAAAGTAAACTGCACTCCCAAACAGAGAAGATATTGGTAAGGTATGCCCTTAAAAGCCAGCTCAGTCTTGCTAGTACTTCAGGGACTAGCTGTCCTTCAAGAAGATTTAAAATAAATAAATAAAAAGAAAAAGAAAATATTTACATAGAGGCCAACCTTTCCTACTGAGGCCAGTTCAGTCTTGACGTAGGCCTGTCATGGAGCTCTGACAGACAGGCCACTGCTGTTTATTGGGACCATCTGGAATCTTTCAAAATCTGTTCAGATTAAATGCACCCAAAGGTCTCTTTCGGCTATGGCTTCAGGCAGATTAATTAGAAAAGACAAAGTGCATAAACACAAGTCATGTTCTGGCGTGGCCATTCAAAGCAAGCAATAAATAAAGAGTGCTCTAGCAGTACCAATGTGAATCTATGGAGACACAGTAAATAAAAATGAGGACTATTAGTGCTCCTTACCCTGTAGTTCTGGGCCATGAGCCCAGACTATGTGCTGTTGTGCCTTTCCTCACTAAAAGGCATTCAACATCAGTCTCTCAAAGACTACTTCACAATAGCCTTCCCCCCTCCTCTCCAAAAAACCAATAAAACCAAACAAACTAAATACTCCAAAAGCTTTCCCAACAGTCAGCCTGTGGCATATTTTTGCCAGCCAGGAGTATAACAACTTCTAGCTATTTCACCTTCCTCCACCTCTTGCCCCTATCACAAGACACATGCACTTTTCCTCAACAGCAGGCTCCCAGGTTGATTGCCTACAAGTATGGAAACCTACTGACAATGCTGATTCTGGATTCTGCTCAATGCCCTTATTACTTGTCTGGATTCTCCAACCCCATAAACACAGACCCTGAAGAGCCAATAAACAGGCCAACCTATAGTGTTGTCCCACAAGCGCTCAAAGGAGGTGTGGAGATACTCATCGTAATTTGGCTACAGTCATGACAGAGAAGCCTAGAGAACTTCCTAGAGCCAAAAATCTATCTTTTACTTTCTAGCTTCAGCTGTCAGGAACTTGAGTGTACCTGTATTCTCACACTTCCTACAGAAGTACTCGAGCAAGACCAGATATTGCTCATGGATGAGCCATTACCCTAGTATACCCCTATTGCTTTCATGATTCACTGTTTGACTGAAATTATCTTGAGCCAAGTCAGGGTAGGCAGGAGGTCCCATTCAGTGAAGATGTGGAACGGCTCCTGATTCTCTGCTAGGAGGGAGGCAGCAGATAGGAGAGACTGTTTGAATCCCTGGCTGTAGTTTGTGAGATTTTGACAGAAACAATGCATTGAAGGCTCTGGCTCAGGGATCATGCTCTGCTCTCACATGGGCAGCTGATGAGCCAAAATGGCATTACCATGTCTGGCAGCTGTACCATGCCAGCATCCTGCGGGCCTAAGCCCAGTCAGAAGGTGCAGAGTGCAAATGTGAAACCTGTTCTTGAACCCAACCTAGCAGCACACCTGCCCTCGCCAATTCCTCTCTTAAATTGTCAATACCTCAAATATGTCTTATAACCCTCCCTTTCTTAGGTCCTGGCTGCTTCAAGTTATAGGATCAGGCAGCTCAGAAACAGAATCATTGGACTGATGCTCAGATTCTGGTCCTTGAGTGATGTTGGGAATTCTTTCAGGAATGGTTTAAGATTAGTGCTATGAACAAGTCATGGCAGAAAGACAGGTGGGTTTTTCCCCCCACTAGGGATAGCAAAGGTGGAAGAACTTTTGCAGAAAGGCATCTACCTACTAAGAAGGGGAAAGTGTGACCCTAGTGAAGCTGAGGTTAGAGCTCCACCTAGAGAACACCTGACTGTTGGTGTGCCTATGATAACAGAATGTGAATTCTCTCATACGAATGTACCAGATATTTTGCTGTCATTCTCTCTGAAGATATTCTTGGAGCTGGAGATCTATGTGTTTTTCATTTTTTCCCTGCTTCTTCCAGTAGCAGATGATGGCCACCTCACCCCAATTCCCAAGCCTCTCCAAAAGTTGCTATGCAACCAGCACTCCTGGCTCACTATGAAAGTATCATTATAAATAAAAGGATTATTGAGCAACAGAATTTCTGAAGAGCCTCATCAGGTATATGGAATACAAATCATAGACTGGGAATATAGTGACAGAGACTATGCGTTGTCACTTGCAGGCACTTAGGAGTGTGAATCATTTAATAAGATTCTGGAGAATTTTGCAGAATCTTCTACACGTAGTGTTTTATTTACAGTGCTCTCAGCACACCCCAAAGAGTGCTGCAAGATCTAGAGAGTATAGATAATCAAGGAATTTGTCCTTGAGAATACAGCAACAATGCCTCTGTAACACAGCAGAAAAGACAGAGCATTACACTTCAACCTTGAAGCTGATAACTGAAAGGCAATTCAGCCTCCAGTCAGCACTCTCACTTGATTGCTACAAGCTTGGGAATTACAAGCACAGTTTTCTGTCCCAAAAGAAACTAGGTTGAGAGGCACAGGCTCATTTCCCACATGCCATCACAAAATGACAAAGTTATCAGGACTCATCACTGTGCCAAAAATCAGTCTTAAATCTGAAAAAATAGGCCCTGTGATCTCTCACTTAAAACAAACACACAAACCAACCACAAACCACGCATACAAACGTTTCATTGTCCCTACTTGGGCAGAAAAACTGGAAAAAGACAACTATGTTGCAGTTTTTAAAAGCCTGAATCAACAGCATCACCTAGCGGTGAATCAAACACCACATACAAAACCTAATCTCTCAAAATAAAAAAATAAAAAATGCTGTTACACTTTCATTGAAGGAAACATTTTAAATCTACTCTGGCTATAAAAGCACCTACTGGGTATTCCAAATAGCAGAATTTATTTCAAAGAAATTGCAAGCTATTTTTCATTTGTACACAAACATTTTTCTTTTTTTATAACTTTCACTCCCAATTAACAGCTAACATCTAGACGTAAATTAAGTAAAGCAACTGTTTGTTACATTCATAATCTTTAAACCCCACAACTCAAAACATGATTATGAAGTTACCACTATGTTCTATACTACTATTCTACATTCTATACTGTGTGTACTGTCAATTTGATTCACTGAACATGTCTAACATCTTCAATGGATATTTCCTCTTCAATTTTTTAAAGCAAGGGGAAAGTGCCTTGTGAACTTACTTGTCAGCTTTAGAAATTCTATTTCTGCCTCACATATGAATCTTGTCCATGTGACCATGTATTACTATAGTTAAACACCTAATTTTGTCTAAGAGGGAAAATATAATCATTGTTCTATAATCTATTTCTCTGTGGTTATTTTCGTTTGTTAATACTTCAAATTATCATCTGTTTTTCACATTTCTTCCAGGGAAAGCAATTTAAAAGACCATGAAAAGTCTTCTCAGAGCACAGCTGTACTTCACAGTGCATCGTGATGGAGATCTCCCCCAGCTAACATTGACCGAAACCAGTAAGTCTTAAATGGTGCAATAAAGCATTGTACGGACCGAGCAATTCACATCTGTAGGGATACAGCAGTGAGACAAACACTGCTCAGGCAGACTCAGTTGTTTCCAAATCTCCACTAGCTTATACACAGCCTTGTGGGTACCAGCACACAGCTCTCCACAACACTCCCTGTACTGGTGTGCACACTGATTCCAAGCCCTCAGAGGTACAGAGCAAGGCAGGCAACAAAAATTTGTTAAGATATCTACAGAGAAATATGCTAGCACAACTGAGAAGATAAAGGGATTTGAGGGACACTGGCAACAAATTGACTGGCAACAAACTGAGCTTCATTGGAGACATAAATGGACACAAGAATTGCATATGGACTTACACACTGAAAAAGACACAACAGCACTGTATGGTGCAATATTAAAAATGTATGCGTATCTGAATAATCAATGTGTCTTTTAGTGACTTAAAGCTTTTGGAGAATACGAATGTCTCATTTCATTGAACTACCTAATACAAGAAAAACATAAAGAAGAACAATCAAGTACGTTAAATAGCTAGGGGCATCAACCTCTAAAGAAAGAATTAAAAAAGCATGCATATTACAGATAAGCTACACAACAAAGACAAAGACATAATTAAACCTGAAAAACAAAACTGTGGAAAGCTAGCTGCAAAAAGGGAATGTAAAATTTAGGACATGAGCTATGACATTTAAAAGAGCAAATTAGGCTACTGAGCCTAGTATTAAATCAGACAGTAGGTAACATTAAAAAAGGTCTATTTTCATAGGCAAGTACCTTTTTTTTCAATCCAAACTGCTTTCCACAGCATCTGCCTTATTACTGTACATTTGTACCTTAACTGGCTGGCAGAACTGTTCCCTATTACAGAACATCTTCCTCCTGTTGTCATCGCCTTATCACAACATCCCAATTTCCAACCTTGGGGAGCAGGATTTCCCCACCTTACCTCCAGTGCTCTCTTGTAGTCACCCAAATGAAAGGCAGAGTATCCGATCCACAGGTCAGCATCCTCCTCCTGCTCACCCACGTGCCGTTTAAACTTTGTAGAGAAGAAAGAATGTAAGAATTTTGTCAGCTGCCACACAATTTATAAAGCCCCACGGATAATCAAAGTAATGCTAGGCCATTTTATATCACGGATGGTTTGACAGCCGTAGATGCTACTGGGGTGGAGCTGCTCTCACACGTCTAAGGGAAGCAGCAGGCAACCCTCCCATGCCAAACCTCGTTCTGCGAAGTGAGGGGAAAAGCTGCCGCAACAGGGCCTAAGGGGCGCGGCAGGAGGCGAGGGGGACACAAGGCAGGGGGAGGGCTCCCCTCGCCCCGCAGCCGTGTCGGGCACAGGCCTGGCAACGACGGTGCCGCCCTCCCGAGGGGAGCGGGAGAGCCGGGGTGCCGGCCGCGCCCTCGGGCCGGGGGCCCCGCCCCCGCCGCCGCCCGCCGGTCTTTTACCCAGCCCGCGGGGAACCGCTTCCCCCGGGGAGAAGACTAACGACGCCAGGAAGGCTTGACACCCGCCCCCGGCCGT